TTAATTGTTTAAAATTAAGAAAAAAAATTGGTATGAAATATTGATTATAGGGTTTCTCACTAAAAATCTCTTTTTACTTATATAATTAGGAGCATAAGATTCACTTTATGTAAGTGAAAGAATTCACTTTTTCCTTCTTTTCCTAATGTGGGATTATAAAATAAAAGTTAAATGGAAGCTAGCTAATGAGAATTTTCTTAATTGTTTAAAATTAAGAAAATTCAATAATTTATATAAATGAGAGTATAAGATTCACTTTATGTAAGTGAAACAATTCACTTTTTTCTTTTTTTCCTAATGTGGGATTATAAAATAAAAGTTAAATGGAAGTTAATCAATGAGAATTTTTTTTAATTGTTTAAAATTAAGAAAATTCAATAATTTTAAAATGAGGGTTTGGAGCTTCTAGAAGGCTTCTCCCTCTAAACCCCTTTTATAAGATTCACTTTATATAAGTGAAACAACTCACTTTTTCTTTCTTTTCCCAATGTGGAATTATAAAATAAAAATTAACAATTGTTTAGGAGAGAAGTTTAATTCTAATCAAGCAATCTCAGTTCTTTAGTTTATTTCAAATCAAACAAATCTAACCAATATATTTTGGTAAATTGCTAAAATCACGGTTAAAGTAGCAAGTCATTCAAATCAAAAACAATTTAGCTTACTTATTTAGATCAAAAGACCAATTAGCTTACACAAAAATTAATTAATTAAAACTTTTAAATTTTATTTTATTAAAATTTAAACTATCACTAAATAAGGAAAATAATCTATTAATTTAAATTTAAAATTGACACGATATAAATTTAAAATTATAATAATTTATCTTATGTTTTATAAGTCTTAAATACAAATTTAAACTTATCATAATTATCTCATAATTTTTGTATTAAGGAGCAATAAGAGTGACGTTGAGATTAGGAATGGCAACTGGCTGAGGCAGGCCGGGGATCACACTCTCCGTCCCCGATTGTGAAAATCTCCCCGTCCTTGACGGGGAACCTATCACCGTCCCCGTTCCCTTCCCTGCTCCTAACGGGGATCGGGTTTCCCTGACCCCGAAAATTCTGCGGCCCAAATCTGTTTTAACAACACCATCAATAACAACATCATTATCATCATCCCCAATTGTTTCATTTTCAACATCAACATTAACAAAATCATCAACAGATCCATTACCAAAAAAATAAAAGACAGAACACATACACATACTTGTATACATACATACACAAATAGATCTGAGGAGGATAGAGGTGATGGACGATGGAGGCAATGAACGACTGCGACGACGACAGAGGCGCTAAGGCAATGGACGAAGGCTATGATTGCGATGACGAAGGTGATGGACGACAGAGGAGGATGATTGGCGTCGCGGACAGTAGCAACGGTGGCGCTGAAGAGGAAAATAGGTGCGAAATTGAAAGAGAGTAGAGGGAAGAAAGAGAGACAGAGAGGAAAAGAGAACTGAAGTGAGATGAGGGTTTGGTAATTGGTTTATATATATAGGGGTAAAATAGTAATTTCACTTCAGGGACAAACAGGGACGAGAACGGGCTGAGTACAGGGCTGGGACACTTGTCCCTGTCCCTGGCCCAAAACTGATCGGTGATTGATTTTTGAATACCATCCCCGTCCCGTTAGAGATATTTTCGAGAAAAAACTACTCAAATCGGGGTTGGGGGTTGGGTCTTCGTCGGGCTGGGTTCAAATTGCCATCCCTAGTTGAGATTATCAATATATGTATATATTATAAAAATTGTTAAAAATTATTAGTAGTAGACACAAAATATAGTTAAAATTTGTATAATAAGATATCATAAATGCTTATTTTTTAACTACACAAAATTTAAATTTTAAAAAGTTATAGTTGTTGTTTAACTCTTTCTTATTTTTTAACTTATTACACCTCACTTCTTATTTTTCAGGATTTTTTTTAATTACAAATTTCAGAAAATTATAGATGACATTTCATTATTATCTAACTTTTAAACTACTACCATTTTCTGTTATTCAATTATTAGAGTTACATTAGATTCTTTTTCAGGTTTATCTTATTTTATTTTTGAATTTTTCAATTTCAACTTGATTTCTTTTTTTCAATCTTCAATTGTTGTTTACTGAATTTCTCTCTACCTCATTTTTCTAGAACTTATTTAATTTTTTCTTTCTATATTCTTATAATTCATCCTCAATTTTAAGCTTGATTTTTTTATATTTATCTTATATTTACAGAATTCACCCTTTCTATTGATTTTCAATTGACTTTATTCTTTTTCGAAGATTTATCTAATTTTCTCTTTCTATATTCAACTTCAAATTTAAACTGAATTTATTTATTTATTTATCTTTATCTTATATTTATAGAATTTCACTCTTACTTTGTCTTTTCAATCGAGTTTATTCGATTGAATGTATTTCAAAAAAATTAATTAATCCTGGATATCTATATAAACATAGTGAAATAGCTCAAATCTATTATTTAAATACCCATCTAAATTAATATCATAGTATTTAATTAATTTTTAACATGTTTAGTATTGTTTATAACATTTTATTACTTGCTCGGGCATAGCAGGGGTTTTACGCTAGTTTTAATTTAATTATTATGATATTTGCAAAAAATAAATTTTGATACACAAATAAATAAATAAATAAATAAGGCAAAATGTGCTTAATTATGCATGGATCAAAATAATTTTTGTATATATTTTTTTATTTTTTGTCTATCTTATTAATATCTTAATATTAATTTATATTTAATTTTTTTATCTAATATAAAATTATTTATTAAAAAATATTTATATTTAATTTAAATTTTATATACCTATATACCATATGTATGAATAATTTAAAAAGAAGATTGAAGAAAAAATCAATACTCTACATAATTAATTTATGTATTTTCATTTGAATTCAATCACAATATATTTATATTTAATCTTTAAAATTTTTTGTGTAATTCTTTTTATACATATTTTCATTTTCCAAATAAAAATAAAAATAAAAATAAGTAATTAGAATCACTTTTAGTTTTATATTACTAATTGTCTTTCTAATTTAACTATTATTTTTAATATCAAAATGAGTATTTATTTTATTATCTTATAATTTAATATATGTCACATAAAATCATTATATGATAATTATACTTTTATAGCACAATAGAATTAAAATGATCAAAATAAGCAAATAATTTAATTAAATTTACTATATAAAAGTATTCAACTAACACACTACAACATTTTCTTGGTTTAGTGACATTTGAAAGTGCCACAAAACTATTCTTCTAATGACATTTTTTAGTCTTGTAGCATTTTGAACAAGTGCCACTTCTATCGGTGCCACGGTAGATACAAGCGCCACGGTAGATACTTGCAAGTGCCACTACACCATCGTGGCTAAAAACTTTCAATGGCATTTTAATGTCATGGTAGATATTATTTGTGACACTATCAAACGCCATTAAAAAAAGAGTTAGTGACACTTATAAGTGTCATTACACCATCAAGACTAAAACCTTTCAGTGACACTTTAATGTCATGGTAGGCACTATTCGTGACACTATCAAGTGCCATTAAAGAAGACTTGCAATCTAAAAATGCCATGATATGGACTTTTAATGACGCTTATTATGCCACAATTGATATTTATAACACCTTCATAAATGCCACTAAATCCAATTCATTTGTGCCATTAAATAGATATAAATGCCATTAGAACTTATTTTAGTGACACTTTGCAAAGCTAAAATGCCACTTATATATTTTTTTAATTGACACTTTTAAAAGCTACAATTATGCATGCGTAAATACCTATAAAAATTGAATTGATTTTACAAATAATTAAATATTAATTGCAACATCAGATATTAATTTGACATCCATTCATCCTGTAATATTTTCATAATAATAAACAAATATTACCACCATAAGATCATCACATCAAAAATAAAAAAAATTCAAACCACAATCAAGTATTTATTATTGAAATATAAATTTATTTATATTGCAAAAAAAATCCCCTGCCAAAATTATAAAATATTCTACCACACCAACAAAGTTAAAGCAAAAACAATTTAAAAGAAAATTATTCTAACCATAAGTTCTGAAAAGCCATAGTGATATCCATATTCCGGCGAGAAAAATTGTAAAAAATAAAATCAGTTCCCAAATTCTCAACTTCACTTTTATAAATATTCTCGGCTAGCATCCATAACTTGTGAAATCTGCATCCAAAAAAATAAACATATGAAGGTAATTGAAACTATATTAAGTTAATATAAATTTGTTAATGAAATTAGTATTTACGAAAGAAATATACCACAAATGGAGCAGGCCAAGCAGCATGAGCTCCAATAGCTTGTCCAACTGTTTTGACAAGTCCATATGATCGGATCAAGCTCTCATTAGGTTTGATTGGCACTTGAACATGTATCTCCCAATAGTTAGGTCCCAGTTCTTCCCATTCTAATTCTTTAGATGCGTCTGTGCTTTTAAGTACTCCGATTGCAACTGTTTCTGCTGGCCTAATGATACTTTTTAGAACAACTAGATCTCCCACCTGTAAATCAAGATTTAACTACTTAAGTAATTGCATATTTAAAATTAATAAATAATAGTTTAAAAAAACTAGTACAAAGTGTTAGAGTGAAGATGATCACAACTGAAAGTGATATGTATTTCTCTAGTAGATAAGCACGCCAAATACAGTACAACAAATTATATAAAAGTAACAACCGTAAATCTTTAGACCATATCAAACAATAGCTTAAAAATTCAATAACAACCAAAAGCACCAATCAACAACAATCAAAACCATGTCCATTATCAATATCAGGATCCCCTAACCTCAACGATGTAAATCAAATGTAATTGTGAAAAATAACAATCAACTAATTACTTTCAAGCAATATTTTGAGAGAATCAGAAAGAGCCCATGCAGTAATAAATGATGGAGAGATGTCTTGTTAAAGCTTCAGAAGAAAATTAAATGAAATTTTTTTTTTAAAAAAAAAAAGCACAAACTTCGTCATGTCATGATTTAGACTATGTAGCACATTTTGTCTAGATTTAAATAATGAAATTTATGTTCGCAATATTCATTCCTTGGTTAATTGTAAAATAAGTGTTGCATGCTATTCTAAAATAAAGTTGGAAGTAATGTGATATCTATGATTAGCTCTTAGTAGGTACCTGAGTAAGAGAAGTATCTTGTATCGATGACAAAGCCCATGCTTGATGTCGAGCTGCCATGTCGAGAGGAGTAGAAGTTGTTGTGGCCTAACCAAATTTGAACTATTTAATTTTACAAACACACACACATAGATATATGTATGCATATATAAGTGTAGGAAAACATTAATAACTTATAAATTCTATTAAAAAAATTTCCTGATTAGATGTGTTTGTCAAGTTATTCGGAGCATGTTGAACATGGGAAACTTTGGACCCTAGCTCCGAATTTTCAGCTTTCATAACATCCATTGTTGTGTCTTGGTTTGCTTTATGACCAGATGTATCTCTCCATAAATTAGACGGGGAGACACCTAATCCATACATGCGAACTCGTCCATGTTTTTCTTTACTCATCACTTGTCCAAATGCATCATTTGGGCCCTTATTCGATAAATTTGCATTTAAGGTTGTCCTCTCATTCATTTCATCCTATAAGGTTGCAAAAAACATAACTTAATATATACATTTCAATAACTCAACACTATAATGTGGAAATTTTAACTAATCTACAAGTTCAAATGGACATATAATTATTTGGTACATACTATCATTGCTTTTGTTGCCTGAGGGGTTCCAGTCTCCTTTGTATAACATACTTTAAACATGTGAGCACGAGTTGGAGAGTGTCCCAACTTATTTTTCTACAAAAAAATATATTCCAAAATATAAATTATATTATTTCGTCACATTATGTATACCTTATCATATTAAATATACAACATGAAAAGATGAATTAACCTGCTCCTTTCGAACACGTGGAAAACTTTTTATTCTAATAGTATGATTATACTTTCGCTCTGCACGACTTGCTTTGTTCTTATCACTTTTTGCCTAAAATTACAAATGCACAAATTAATGGTGTCCAAACTACAACAAGTAAAATAACATATAATGATCAGATCGAGTATACCTTTACTTCTTCGATGGCCCAAAACTTAATAAGATGTTCCCACTGATCAGCATATACTCTACTATCTCTATAATGCTTTTGTTGGTCAAAACTCAAGTGGTTCTTATAATAATTTTTCTTATTGTTTGCCTTCCAGTCTTTTAACTTCTTACCAGAGCACTTCATAACCCACTTCCTAGCATGACTTGGAAGATCAAACTTTGACTGAAAAGAGAGAGAAAAAGAGCGAGAGAGAGAGAAAAGAATACGATGATAAAAAATTAATCTTCCCGCATAAAAAATTAAAAATAAACAAAATTATAAATAGTGTTGTTTTAATCACATTACTCATGTTTACTATTATTCACATGTCATCATCTTTCGCACAATATTGTGTCAATTACCTATACAAGTGCCCATAGGTGATCTTTGTAATGCTCTGGGACTTTATGCCAATTCTTGTAAATGAGTGGTGCATTTTTCCCATCACGCACAATAGTTCCAATGAACGATGATAACTTTGTTGCCAATTTGTCATCAGGTTGGCCAAGTTTGTTCCAATTGACTGTTAGGCGCTCATCATCACGAGTACCCCAAATATTACGCATTTGAGTGGGACCTCTAGTTTTCTTTTGTCCACTAGCACCATCTAGTTATAATAAATAAATAAATAATAATACTAATAATAAATTATATACGAAGAAATAATAACATTTTTATAAGGTTTGAACTTGCATACCTGCATTATCATTGGGTTGACTAGAATTTGGTTGTATCTCAGATGGAGTTGACTCACTAAACTCACCAACATTGCCTGAGCGAAACTGAAGATATGGGTCCATAGGCTTTTTGCTTTATGGATGAATCCTAGTATGATTCAAGTAAAATAGACAAATCAAATTGTAAACTTAGAATGATCCAAATAAATTATCTGCAAATGAACAAAATACTTGAAGAAAATTAACAAAAAAAAATTGTGAATTCACCTTTATTGCGTTGTTATCTTGGTAGTGACTAAATGTAACATATAGTGAATAAATATTTTGTACCCACATATGAAAATCACATAGTTAAATTAAAAACGCATTATTCATTCTTCAAACAATCAATTAAATTAACAAAAACAATGATAAAGAAAGAGAACAAAATGAAACTATAGAATTGATTTCAAATATAAATAACTAGCAATGTTCAATAAGTTTAACAGTCATATAAGATCAAATTCTTTCTCATCTCCATCATCATCTCCATCATCATGAACATTGTTGTCTCTCAACACCTGAGAAAGTGGTGCATCTACAATTGCAGCAGACATGTCTGTTCGAACCAAATCAAAATTATTGTCCCCATCACCACTTTGTGTATTGCATACAACACTCTGCAAGTTTGCCTCCACATTGTCCACAGAAGACCCCGCATTCATATCATCAAAATCTCTCGGATTTATCTTGATAGCAACTTGCCAATCTTTGTGTTTCAAGTCTTCTACATACATTACCTGTTCTGCTTGAGAAGCCAATACAAAAGGCTTAGCATCTTTTATTAATCGTACAAAGTTGACTATTGTGCAATCTTTATCTTGTCTTTTCCCTGATTGTGACACCCATTCACCTTTAAATAACACGACCCTCTTCCCAAACAAATAATCTAACTCAATTATATCTGTTAACACTCCATAAAATGTAACATCTCCAGAGACCGGATTTCCATCTCTACCACTTGCAAAGCTTCGTGTTTTTGCCGTGACAATAATCCCACTATTTTGAGTTTTTCTCTTTCGCTCGATCTCTTTAGTATGGAACCTAAAACCATTTATCAATTATCGCTTATATTTTGTGAAAATTCTATTTGGACCATGAGCCAAACATCTAAGCTCTTCAGTTATTTGACTATCCCCTGCATTATGCAATTCCTCAACCTGTTTTCAGACAATTGACGACGTAACTTCTATAAGTGTGGAATGAAATTGAAGTTTAATATCAAATCAAATTTTAAGGAACTTCAAAACACTGCTTACATGTTTATCAAACCATGTTGGAAATGTTTCACTATGAATGCGATCAATGGCCATTTCACGAAGACGTGGATTTTGTATGGCAACAAGTCTACGGTGTTGTCTGTATGCCATATAAAAGATTTGTGAGTGTGTGAAAAAAGTATGTATAATAATAATAATAATAATAATGAAATTGATTACAAATGGCGAGTGTCTTACTCAATAAATTTGTTGACTGTCTCACAATTAAATAGCACATATCGATGTGCCTTTTCTTTTGTGCCATCATCCATTGTGTCTATCACGCCCTTACCTAATGGTCGGCCAGGCATTGAGAAAATAGATAATCCTTCGGTACCATTACCTCCATCATCATAATTTCGAGACATCCGGTTGAACCGTGTCTCAACACCTTCCATATACCTCGAGCAAAATGTCAAGCATTCATTTGCAAGGTATCCTTTTGCCATATTACCCTCCGGTCGACTTTTATTTCGCACATATGACTTTAATCTACTCAAGTACCTATGTTTTGGAAAGTTCAAAAAACAAAATTTTAACTCAAGTTCGATAATAACAAAAGTAAAATATAATAATGATGGTAAAGAAATATGTAATTTAATATAAACTCTACCTCTCAACAGAATACAACCAACGATAATGCACAGGTCCTGCTAATCTAGCCTCAGATGCTAAGTGAACCACCAAATGCACCATAATGTCAAAAAAGTTAGGGGGAAATATTTTTTCAAACTTACAAAGTGTTATCGAAATTTGCCTTTCAAGACGCATAAAGTCTTGTGCCAAACCAACTTTAGAACATAACTCTCGAAAGAAATTACTCAACTCAATCAAAGGTGAAGTTACATGTGAACTCAACATTCCTCGAATTGCTAAAGGGAGTAATTGTTGCATCAAAATATGGCAATCATGACTTTTAAGTCCAAAGATTCTACGTGGCTTTAAGTCGATGCATCGTGAAATATTCGCTGCATAACCATCAGGAACTTTAACAGTCTTCAAAAATTTACAACAAACATCTTTTTCTTGTTTCTTTAATGAGAAACAAGAAGGAGGCAAGATGGTTTTATTTGCTGCATTTTCTTTTGGATGTAGTTCAGGCCTTATACCTTGAAGTTTCAAGTCAAGACGTGCATTTAGATTATCCTTTGTCTTCCCCTCTAAATTCAGTAGTGTTCCAAGCAAGCCCTCACATACATTTTTCTCAATGTGCATCACATCAAGATTGTGACGCACTAAATTATCCTTCCAATATGGTAATTCAAAGAATATGCTTCTTTTCTTCCAATTATATGGTAATTCTGGAGAGTGTGCAGAATAAGAAAAACCCAGCTGCCTCAGCAAAAACCCAGCTACAATTGCACAGCAGATCAACACATGCCCGCTAGCCTACCCAAACACCTCCTAATTTACCTCAGATTAATACTAAAATCCATAACAGATGATTCCCAAAATCACAGGAGCAGAGCAAGACCAGAGCTGGGCAAGAACCAGCACAGAGAAGAACCAGCACAGAGGCAAGAGCAGAACAGAAATTGACCTTCAAGAACCAGCCACAGAGAAGAACCAGACCATGACTGAATAGCCACTAGAGCTAACACCCACCAAATCAACCATCTAACTTACAGAGCAAAACAGAACAACCTTTATGTCTGTTGGTTTTTTGCAAAACATATCAACATATCAAAGTTGATAGATGTTGCAAAAAAGGTCAACAGATCCGTAAACATAACATGCATACTCAATTGCAGCCCCTAAAACTATGATATGTTACTTAATTCCTTGCTTATTGCAAATACCACCTACCTCTAGTATCACTACAGCATCCCCAAAACATGCACCACAAAAACAGCAATTATACTTCTGCACTAAATAGCAGCAAACAAACCTTGCAGCTTCACCACTACTGTCGCCTTGGTTCTTCGCACCAACCTTTATGTCTGTTGGTTTTTTGCAAAACATATCAACATATCAAAGTTGATAGATGTTGCAAAAAAGATCAACAGATCCGTAAACATAACATGCATACTCAATTGCAGCCCCTAAAACTATGATATGTTACTTAATTCCTTGCTTATTGCAAATACCACCTACCTCTAGTATCACTACAGCATCCCCAAAACATGCACCACAAAAACAGCAATTATACTTCTGCACTAAATAGCAGCAAACAAACCTTGCAGCTTCACCACTACTAACAAACCTTGTGACTGCTAAATATATGTGGAAAGATGTGCACATGCATGTTGTTAGATGATGCTGTTAAAGTTCAAACAGCAAGTTTGCATGTGGGTTTATATCGTGCGTTAAGAATTTTTTTGTTCCACTTAATTGCATGGGTTGTGATAGGTTGCAGCCTTTTCTTTGTTTTTTTCTTTTAATTTCTTGCCACTAAACACGGCTATCATGTGACGGAAGACAAGCAAGGGAACATCTATTGACAAGTTTTGGCTAATGGCATAGAGGAAGTACCATTGATCATATGACACATCAGAAAAATGCAATGTAAGAGTGACATTGTGTGAGACAGTGAGATTCAAGATCCTATAAGGTGCAATGAGAGAACAGTGAGAAAGTGAAACACCGGGAATCCAATTATAAGGAGCACGCAATAGGGTAGAGGCAATGAGATTGAAATCAATTGGGATAGAAGCATAACGCTTATCTTGGGGATAGTCACACACAAGAGGCCGTTCGAACCAAGAATATTAGCAACAATATCCGCATTAAACTCAAAACTTTTACCCTTCACATACATCCGAAAAGATGATGAATTATAGAATGAATGTTGCAATAAAAATATCGAACCCAAGACCTAGTCACTATGTCATCAAAATTTAACACAGCATTACCACCCAAACAATCAAACCAATTCCTAATAGGAAGCTCATAAAATGTGTTGGGTTCAATATTTCGTTCTAGTAACACAGTGTGATCAGTGAACTGTGCATTAAACAGATTTTGATGGTCTTTAGAGCGAAAGGAATGTGAATCAAAAGAGCCTTTTGTAGCTGATTGCTTGGTTTTCTTTCCAGAAGAAGATGAAGCCATGAAACAAAATTTCCAAAACTACTGAGATGGACGAGACAAAAAATACAAAAGAAAAAAGAAAGGAACTAAGAAATTTACCACCTACAAATGATATGGAAGAGACAAATTACTTGGACCACAAACCCTGAACACAAATCAAAGAGAAAGAGAGAGACAAAGGATGCAAAACCTAGGGTTTAAAACAAAAATCAAATCTAAAATAGAAAAAATAGAATTAAAAAAAATGTGCACATTTGTATGATTCTTCCTTTGGTGTCTCTGTGTTTTATGCTTTGAAGGATTCAATTACCTGGTTAGAGTTAATTTTATACTAAAGTTTTTTCGGTTTCTTAGTTTGGCTGGATTTCGTCATTGGAAATTGCAAGGACCAAGGTTTTTTTTTTTTTTTGGAGGACCAAATAATGATCTCCTTGGCATATATATTCATCTCCACGTGGAAGTTTAGTTTTACATGGCACTCTCAGTGTTGCTCTGTTCTTTCCTTGGAGTATGTTAAATACAAACATCCATTTTAATTTATGTGATCATATGATTGTTAACTTCTATTTTATGAAACAATGACCTCATAACCACATCAGGTTGATTGTCTTAATCAATGTTGGAATTAGCTAAGTACATCTAGATCTTGTGAAGTAGAGTTTAGCATAAAAGGCTCTATGAGATCAGATCATAGTTACAGAACCACATATATATATATATATATATATCATGTTTTTTGCAGCTTAATCAACATATACTACAACAATCTGACATTATCAAAAATAATTTCCAATTATTCATGAGCTCGTCCAACATTTCAACTAATTAACAGCATAACCAATAAACATAAATATTAAATAAAACTCACTGAAGCATTTAAACAAACACTTGCAAGACATTAAATAAAATCACAACATAAATATAATAATAGTAAATTAAAACTAACCGTTTTCAGATTGTATAAAGTTTTATGCCTAAAACAAGAAAATCATAAACAAGTGAGAAAGATAGAGGTATTGTGTGTGTCTGATGAGGGTGAGAAAGAGAGAAAGAATACCTAATGAACTCTGATCGTAGAAGATGAAAACACAGCAAGTTTGTGGTGTAGACGGTAGATAAGGATTGAATGAAAGACAAAGAATGATAAAAACTTGCTTCATATTTTGGCTCCTGCGATTTTGACCCGCCAAAATCAAATTTGGTTCACCAAGTTCAGGAAAATCAAACTTCCCCTTGCCTCTATCTCGATCGCCTCTGCGGATTTTGCTTCATCAGATATGGCTTTATGACATTTTTGTAAAATATGTCACCAAATATTCTTTTTGTGACATTTTTTTAAGAAATGCCACTATAATAGTGTCACTAAAATGTGTTTTTGCTGTAGTGACACTTTTAGAGAACAATAATGCCAAGATTATTAAAATAAATAATTTAAATTTAAATTTAAATTTTATTTTAAATTAAAATTAATATTATTCTTTTGTAACACATATCATAATATAAAAGTTAATATTATTCTTTTGTAACACATATCATTACATTAATTAAAGTTAATTCCATTGTGATTTTATGTTATGCATCATATTTCTAGAAGTGATTTACTTACATGCGTAGTTCAATTTGATATTGATTGATTAAAATAATGGAACTCAATACTTCTTTCGTTAAGTTTTTAGAAGATAAATTGGCAAATATCAAATGATAAATAGTGTGGATTATTATTTTAAAGAATAATGATTCATCAAAAATGATTGTGCATATTTAAGACACATATTGATGTTTTTTGAATAATTTTTAAATAAAAATTTTGAATTTAAAATGTGTCACCTATGCTATATATATATATGTATGTATGATAATTAATCAAAATCCTTTTCAGAACATAAATTATTAAGATTATAGAGATTTTGTACTTGATTTCCTTTGAAAATACTGTTTATGATTTGAATTTATAATTTTTTATACATTAATATGAGTAACTCTTACAATCTTGCTAATATAAGCATAAATCCTACCTTTGAGTAAACCCACTTTAAGCACTTTTCTGTATAATAAAATACTTAAATATTGTCATATAAAAATATTATAATAGATCATAATAAAACACTACTTAAAACATATATAATTAAAGACCCGATGCACCACTTCTTTTTTTCCCCCCTTTTCTTCTTGAGAATATGAAAAACATTTATACTATTAAGAAACAAGAACATACACTTTAGACATAATTAAAAACATAAGAAATTAGTAAAGACCTTTTCGATTAATAACCATAACACTTTCTATATTATAAAATTTTCTAATGTTTTTATTTTTTTTAGAAAAAAATATTTTGATACAAGTGGAATTCATGATTTTTGATAAATTTGATTAGCACAAATGGGTGAATACACTTTTTTTTAAATTTATTTTATATATATATATAATTTTAAAAAAAATTATTTTTATGAGCTTTTTACATAAGATCATTCATAATAACAAAAAATTTTAACAAATCTGTTTATACTTAACTATCAATTATTAAAAAAATTTACGCATAAAATATAAACACTCAAAATTAATTTTTTATTTTTAAATAAATTATCGTACATAACGCTTTACCTACATAGCTTTGTTAAATATAATAAAAATGTATCATGCAGACACCCAGTCGATGTTAACTAAAACACATTATTCTCTTCTCTCGAGAAAAAGCTAAAAACATTGCCCAATGATAGTTAAGGAAAATGTTTCACTCTTAAAACTTTTTTATTTTTATTTTTATTTTAATTTTTTAAATTTGATTTACAGATTTAACTAACAATAACATAATATATTGTGTATTATTTTTTACTTTATCACATATTTAATTATATAGAATCCAATTCCTTCACTCTTTCATTGCGGATAAAATTTAAGGTCAAGTTTGTCTCTAGTTGATCAATATTGTCGAGTTCTATGAGATTTATCACGAGACTTGTTTCGATTGTATGAAGTATTTAATTTGTTAAGTTTTAGGCCTAGATTAGAATTTTGTTACATCCTCTGTTTTGTTTACACCTAAGGTGACAAACAATTTTTTCACTCCCAATTACACCTAAGGTGACAAACAATTTTTTTTTAAAAAAAGAGAAAGTTTGAAGAAAATTAATTGATTAATATTATTTATCACGTTATTAAAGATACAATTAAACTGATAAAATAAGGGGCTGAGGTATTTCTCCATAGCTTATTGATGGAAAAAAAAATAAAAATAATCATAATTATATAATTTTATAATATTTATCTTCATAAAAATTTATACACAAAATTATAAAAAAATAAACGATACAGACCGTCAAAATAGACTGAAAAATACTATGAACCCTAAATAATCTATTAAATCTTTTATATGGGTATAAAATCCACACAAATCCACGTGTATGTAAGTCTCACATCCATGTAAAAGGTTTTGATAAATTATTTGAGATCCCTAACATTACTTAAAAGGACCCGGGATGAGCTGCTAACTTTTTCTTTATGGCCTTGTTTGGTTTGACTTTGGGAAAAAGATTTTGGAGAAAATGTTTAGAAATTTTGTTTGGTTTGTAATTTTTCTTAAAAAATTTCCAAAATCACAAGCCTCCGTTTGGGAAGTGGGTTGGCTTTTTGGCTTTTTTGGCTATTTTAGCCTGGGCTAAAAAGCTTGGTTTGGGAAGGGCTTTTTGACTTTTTGGCTTTTTTGACTTTTTTTGTGAGAGAAGAATGTAATGATTATGGGTTGGATGTGATGTTTTGTTTGTTATGGCTAAAATAGCCTATTTTGTTTTTTGTGGCTAAAATAGCCAAAAAAGCCTGAAAACCATCTTGCCAAACAGAGGCTTTCTCTTTCCTACACATCAATCAATCACTTTTTCTCTCTCCTCTATTCTTTTCAATCACTTTTTATCTCACATACATCTACTCAATTACAACAAAATATCAAATTATTCCAAACTCCCAAACTCCAAAACTATTTTCAAAATATACCACCAAACAAACTACAAAAAATTTCAAACTTTCTCCAAAAAAATATTTTTTTGAAAACTTATCGCCCAAAATCAAACTAAAGGTATATTCTTTTAAAGTGAAAGAAATTTAAAAATAAAATAAAATATTCATGAGAAGCTGCTAATCAATTTAACCATAGAGGGAGAGATAGAGCCAAACACGGCCTTACATCATCATCATAATCATCATCCACTCACTCGCAATTTCTTTTGAGGGAGAGTTGTTCTCGTTTGGGAGATATTGGAAGTCAGAATACGAATCTTTTTCTATATTCTCGTAATCTACTTCTTCTTCTTATCGCTCTCTACCCATTCATTGCGTTGCGTACAATTCCTCAGCCGCCATCAAATTTCCTTCCCATTTGGAGGTTCGATTCTCATCTCCCATCATCTTTTTATACGTAATTCCAAATACCCATTTCGATTTTTTTGCTTAATCTCTACAAATCGATATATGATGATTTTTATTAATGTATGATTTCCAATTTTTCACGGTTTTTGATAAGCTTTCGTTTGAATTGAAACTGGGTTGTTGTTAATTTCGATTTAAATCAACTTAAAGTTGTTTTCTTTTCTTGTTTGTGACTGTTGGATTGGGTATGCAACTTTGCGTTTTGTTCATAGAAGTGTCATGCGTGTGCTCTATATGTTTTTGGATTTATTTTTTTAAGCTTAAGGATGAGAATTTTGGGTGTTTGAATTGTTTTGGGTAATGGGTAAGGGTCCCACCCTGTGGAAATTGAGTGATTTTGATTGATGGAACATTGTCTGATGATTTTTAGGATTGTGGTTTTTTTCTTTCTTGCCTCTTTTGGGTGTTTGATGTTTTCATGAAATCGTGATCATTTCAGCTCTTGCTAACTTTCAAGTAGTCTATTTATAATGATTGGTTTGTAAAGCTAAATTGTGTTTTTGAGTCTTTTGATGATGGAACAGAATTGGGTTATTGAGAGTTGTATGGATTAGTGGTTGAGTTGCTATAGAAACCAATTTGTGATTCATATATGGTAGCTTATCTTGATATAGTAGTCTCATGTTAATCTTGCATATCCATTTCATCTTTTTAAAACTATATCTTCATTCGAAGAAAGTCATTTGAGCTCTTCCTTTTTGCAACTGATTATATGTGATTTTTCTCATTTCTTCCTGATTTGTGAGGACTTGCTGGATTTTTAAACAGAAGTTATTTAAGGGCCCAAATGGTGAGTAATTTAGGGTTTGAATGGTTATTGAAGGCTAATAGGTAGGGGAAGGGATTAGGGTTGATTTGGAGGTGACATGATATGGTTTTGCGGCGGAAAAATACACTGTTAATGGGCTGTGAATAGTATCCTGAGAATACTATCTTGGGAACATATGCAAGGAAGAAGAAAGAGAAGAAGTAGAAGAGAATAATAGAGAGCTTTCAGAGAAGCAAATGACTGCAATATCTAGATTAGGTTAGCTCGTATATTTATATTATTACTTAAAAAGGGAAAGGAATAACTATACTACCCATCATCTAAAATGTATTATTTCTATGCAACCTCACTTCTTAGTAGTAGCATAGTCATTCTTGCCAATGATCAACCATCTTGCCTGGATGGATTTATCTATTTGACTGGAATATCCCAGCTTGACCTGAATTGATGCTAGTTTTATAACTACATGGATGCAATCATTTCCATTTCTTTTTATTCTTGTCTAGGCACTCATTCATTGAGGGAATGCAATAATGTGTTAATATTGGTTGGTAATCATCCAAATCTTGCCCAGTATCATGACTATTTTAAAGTCAAACATGATAACAAAATCATGCAGCATTTCCAATTACAAGTGTACTTTTAAACCGTCTTCTGATTCGATGTGCATCTTTCTCCTTCTTCGCTTTCTCTCAATTTCATGCTCCAACATGCTATGCTGACTCCATTTTCTTAAAATGGTTCATTCTTAGCAATGATGTTGTGCTAAAATTTCTACAGAAAATGGAATGGATCAATACATTATACATGGGATGGTTAAATTTTCCCTTAGTTCATTGCTAAATTTTAACATATGTTATTAAATTTTTATTTAGTTCAAAATGCTATATATCTATACTAATAAAGTTACATATTTTCTTAGCAATATCATGTTTGGCTCGGTATCATGAACATTCTGTATGAACTTACATTTGTTTTAAGATTTCTACTGCCAATTCCATTCCTAATGTGTTTTTCAACAATTTGGCATTTGAATATGGGCACATATTCAAATATAGAATTTTTTTAATTTACCCTGCAAGCTTCTTTTTTATTTACTTATTTATTATTTTTTTATTATTATTAAGGTTTCTACTACTTCCTAATCTTTGGATGGCTTTAGCTCCATGGCTATATTACTAATGTTGTATGCAAGGTTTTAAAAAGCAGCCGTAACCGTTACGTAACGCCATCATGTAACAGTTGTGGTGGTTACTGCCACCTATTACGGCCGATATAGCGGTGTGACTAAGGTTTTGAAAAGCGGTTGCGGTCGCCGTAACGGTTATAGTTGTGGGATGTAAAGGCCGTAGCGTAACGGTTGCAGTAACCAAAACCGTGATTTCTTTTATGTTTCGCACAATTTGAAAAAATTTACCGATGCGCATATTTTTTTTTTCTTCAAAATCACATTTATTAGGGTTTAAAATTGATTTTGATCAATTTTTATTAGTTTTTAAGTATGATTCAATATATTTCATAAGTTTAAATCATTATAAAAGGAGTTTTTTACATTTTATTTCAATAGTTAATTACTTTAAAAATAATTAATTTTGAATGTCTACAAATTATTTTTAACCAATACCTGAACTAATTGAATAAAATTTTTTCATAATTATTAAATGAAATGATTATAAAAATAAAAAAAAAAATTGTGCTAAAGAAAAATTATTTTTTAGACATTACTTTACAGCTAACTAAATAAAATTATTTACAATTAAGTATTAAATGAAATGATTATAAAAATAAAAATAGTGCCATAAAAAAAATTTATTTTTAAGTTATTGATTTTATTTATTTTTTTAAAGACATTTTTTAGACAAAATATTACAGTAACAAAATAAAAAAATATTTACAATTAAATATTAAATAAAATTATTATAAAAATAAATACACTCATTGTTTATATATATATATATATATTTTATTTTACATCCTAATGTAATGAAATAAATATTAAAAAATAAATTATAAAGAACAAAAAAATTTATATAAGATTTTTTCTTTGGGCTTAGATCACTTGAGCATTTATTTATTTTTTTTAAAGCTTATGTTTTTTTGTTGTTTTTGAAAATGAAGCTATTCAGAATATTGTAAAAGTGTGTGACGGACCATTACATCCGTTACGTAACACCGAAATGGCCGTTATACATGTGAATTTCCGTTACACATAGCGGCCGTAATGGGTTGCACAAAAATTCACAATCATAACAGCCACAACCGTTATATAAAGGTTGTAAATTGTCGCTACAACACAGTTACGGTTGTTACAACCGCTACACTTCTATTTTTCAATTTTGAATTTTTTTTTATAAATTTTGTATATACTACTATTTTCTCTTTTTGTTTTCTAATTACATAGAACTTAAGTAAAAATCTTATCTATATATGTTTTGAATGTCCAATCTTCTAGTTCTACAAGATTTCATTACTTTTTCACTTAATTATATTTAAACATTAACTTATATTTATTTTTCCTATGTTAAATTTATTGAACAAAAATTAGATTTCATGTTATGTATTTTTACATTATTATGTTTGTATTTTGAACTTATGTTTATGAGATTATTATTTTTAATATTAAACATACTTCATGTTTTTTCTTAACAAATTGGAAGTTATCCATAAGTATAATTAGTAAAGCAAAGAAAATTAAGTAAATCCAACAATAGGAAAATTCTCCACAGCGATTTATAACTAATATAAAAATTAGTATATACATATTGGATCATGTTTTAAAACTAAACAAAAATACTAAAAATCATTTTGAACCTCACTGAATGTGATTCTAAAATAAAAGCATGCGTATCTGTATGTTTTCCTAAAATTGTGTGAAGAATTAAAAAATTCATGGTTCCGGTTGCCGCCACCACTACGCTACGGCTATTACACCTTGCAACCGTGTCAATGCTACCGGTAACCGCCACGGTTATTTAAAACCTTGGTTGTATGATATTGTTGAATGGATTTGGCTGCAGTGCTTCACCATTGTTTCTAGTCCTAGTTCAAATTAAAATTTCAAATCAATTGAAGTGTTGGAAAAGCTTTTATAAAATGGTTTAATTGGGACATAATTCATCTTACGCCATTCTGATTTTGTAGGCACGCAAGTTTGTTATTTCATTGATAAACCTTGACTGGTATTGTCCTTGACAGGTAGCACTGAAAGGGGATTCAACAAACAGTAATCTATTAGTTAGAAGATGGATAGCTGATGTTATTTGACGTTCTCAATTTATACGGACACAATGGATGTGCGCCCTGCTTTGTTTATTCGAAGATCAAGTGAAAAGCAGCTGACTAACATGGGTTTTTCGGGAGCTATATCTTCATCTTTCCCAGTTTTTCCTACCCCTTTGGAGGAGAATTATCCCAAATTCACAGATTCCTTTCAGGTTTCCTCAGAAAGGGAACTAATGATGAATTCCATTTCTCCTCAGCCAACTCCATTGGATTCTAACAGCGGCACAGTTGGGAACTTGTTCTCATCGGCTTCTGGATTCTCCACAGATGTTCATTTCTCTTCAGTTTCACCCCAAGCAAGGTGTTTCCATAATTCTCCATTCATTTCTCAGTCATCGAGTGATGGTGCATCTTTACCACCAATCCACTCATCTCATTCAGGTTTACATTCAACACAATTGATCAATTACCCTGAGGGAAACAATGATATGTCCTGGACTACAGATTTGCTGCAGGATTTCCTTGACTTCCCTGAAAATATACCTGTCCAGAATGGTCAGGTAGAAACTATTACTGGTGTAATGGCATCTCAAGAACATGTTAAGAGAACTGATTGGCAGGAATGGGCACACCAGTCAATCTCTGTTGATGATGCTTTGGATTTGGACTCAAATTGGAGCGACATCCCGGATGATATTAGTGCACCAGATCCTAAACCAAAGGTTTGTTGCTCAATTTAGAATGGGAATTATTTGTGTAGGACATGCTAGTGAGGATCAGTCTGTAAATTTCAGCTGCTCATGGGCTGCATCTCATGCCTGCCTCATGTTTGATGCCTATGATATGCCTCCTCCATAGACAAGAAATAAGAATGTAACTGTGGAATTTATATATAAAAAGCCATCTCTCAACTCTATTAGATTTTTTGAAGTAAAAAAGACTTGTATGTTTAAACTATTTAGAGTTCTTTTAACTTTTAATTGAAGTTTTTTCCGATAGATTCCAAGATTGGGTCCATAAACTTGTGTGCATTAGGTTCTTGTTTGGGTTGATATACATGCATACCTACCTACATATTATATATACAATTTTTTTTATTTATTTATTTATTTTTTGGAAGAGGGGGGGGGCACACCAGTCAATCGGTGTTGTGCTTTGGTGGCCTTAACACATCAATTTCTAAATTAACCCGACCTTAAGAGCAATGAATTTAGTAGCAATAGCCAAGTTTGGCCAATGGAGGAGATAGGTAGAGATGTGATGTCCATGGCCATAAATGTGCATCCAATAGGAGTGTCTTTGTTAATTTGCAAAAATGCTTTGAGACTAACCAAAAATGAGGCAATAAGACCACCTTCATCATTGGTTGAACTAGGGTCCTCTATTCTTTAGCCAATAGGACACTATGCAACTTAAGCAAAGCAATGCTGGTCTTTCATGGAGCATGATTGGTAAGAGCTTGTGCTATCACCATATATACTCACCAAAGCTAGATAAATTTAGAAAATTACCTTCCAATCTGGAAAAGTTCTTCGGTTGGTATCATTAGGTGCTTTCTCCACCACTTCTTTCAATCAAAGGTTTGTCTTCTAAGCGTCACAAGCACTTATAAAAAAGTGGTGTGTTTGTGTTGGACATCAACACTCATTAGATACTTCCTGACATGTGTTGTACACATGTCCAAACATGTCATATTATTATTTTAATTTTTTTAGACTCAGAGATGCTTTGGACGCTAGGGGACACACATTTTTGTCTCTTAAAAACACATGAAACACTTTATAAGTTGAATAAAATAACTTATATATAATGATAAAATAAAAACAGTATGGATTTATACCTATTAATCCATCCTCCTTTAGATTTTAAGAATTAGTATTATGTTGCATTTTTATTATTTTTTAATGAATGATTCATATATGTTATATGACATATAATAAATAAATAAAATAAAATAAACTATATATTGTGTCCCCCCCCCCCCCCCACCCAAATTTTGTGCCTTACATATATTTTTTTTAAATTAGAATGTTTGCATGTCCATGTCATGTCTGTGTCTGTGCTTTTTAGGTACTGTATGTTTGTCAAAATTCCGCAGAGGAGACTCGTCATTTTGTTTTTTTGATAAGTAAAGACGTGTATAAAAAGGGCATATAAAAGGGGCACCAAGGGGTGCAACTCGTATACATAAAGAAGACCTATATTAACTATACATTCAAACCTACAAAGGCTCCTACAAAGCCCAAAAATTGGTTCAAGGATAGATCAACACTTTTGAGAACCAACAGAATGAAGAACATGATAATAGTATACTCTTTAATTTGAAGAGGCTCTTCTCTCCCATCAAAATTACTTCTATTCATTCTCTTCACGCATCCCACATCAACACCCAAGGCAGCATAAACCAATCATTCCTCCTCCTTTTCCCCCATCAACCTCATCTCCCAGAATGAAGAAGCTCCCTCACGTTTTGAGGAAAATCCGCTCCAAACCAACCATAATAAGGATTAAAAGCGACAAATCTCATGCCTCCTCACAATGAATGAGAAGCTGACTCGGGGATTCCCCATCATGATTTCACGTCCAACGCCAATTACTATGGATTTGCTTCCTACTTCCTCCTAATCAAGTTATTATTACTAGCCAAAATCTTTCCATGTGTTGTAGTCCTCACAAAGAAAGCAAAATTTGAAGTAGCTTTGGTCCCCCGCACCGTTTCACCCTCCTCCAGCACCTCTCCCTTTCCCTCTCTCCCTCTCCCTCTCACTCTCAGTATCTTTAGACTCATCAAAAATTAAATCTTCCGGGTGCATTATTTTTACACTAGAATTTGTTGTACCTTTGTGTCCATATCACATCATTTCTCATATTCATATATATGCTTCATGGCATCCAATACATCTACTACCATGTTCATGATGTCTCATGTCTTTGATAGTTGAAACATTTCAAAGCGTCTATGTATATCATGGATATTCTCTTACGAAATCAGGAAACCCACAATCATATTATATTTGTTCTTCATGATTCTTGGTTTATTTAAAGACTTTAACTGGCATACCAGGTGATAGAACCACCAACAGATGTTTTTGCCCACCAGCCCCAGGTTCATCTTCATCATCCCATACCATCTGGAGAAATTTGTCCTGTTGCTAGTCCATTATCCCTTGCAACCCAGAACAAGACTCGAATGCGTTGGACGCCAGAACTTCACGAAGCCTTTGTGGAAGCTGTCAATAAGCTTGGTGGTAGTGAACGTGTGTATCCCTCTCAGTTCTGTTTTATTTTTCTGTCATTCAAGTAGTTCAAGTGATCAAGTTAGTTCTAATTGCATTGACTCATAATTTTAACTCACAGGAGCTACACCGAAGGGTGTCCTGAAGCTCATGAATGTGGAAACCCTGACCATCTATCATGTAAAAAGCCACCTCCAGGTATGGATATTTTTTTTTATTGATTCTGCTATTTCCAAGTTGATTTTGACATTGCTCAACTTCATTGGATATATATTTCTTTAAATTTCAGAAATATAGAACAGCCAGATACAAACCAGAGTCTTCAGAAGGTATAAGTAATTTTGTCCTGTTTATTTATCTATTTATTTTTCTTTCATGTGGAAGGAATCCTTTTTACATCATGGGTTGCTAATTTTACATCTTTATACCACTAAAGTCATGCCTCATAAGTTATTAAACTTGTTTAACGCCATAGCAAGCTGAAATATCATTCATATTTGCGCATTTTGCTTATGCTTGCTGCTAGCCTGCTTTTATTGGTTGTGTTATCTGTTTCTCTTGTATGAAAGTGCAGAAGTTTGTATTTTATGAAATACACATCTTATCATGATGTTATTTGTTTTATGCTTTTCTTTTTCTTATTAGACACTTCAAGGATTTCCAGTGAAATACACGAGTGTAAAAACAATTGTTTTCTCTCTTCACGCTGCAGGAATGTCAGAGAGAAATTTGACTCCTATTGAGGAGATCACATCTCTGGATTTGAAAGCGTAAGTTCGTTTATCTATCTTTCTTTACCTGGAATGTTACTCAGATAACATCATAGTATATAATCTACTATTTACAACTGCCCCCCTTGTCGAGGGAAGTGTGAAATAAAAATAGCTTTATATTTTATTCACATTTCCTGTTCCATTTCCTTTCCCTACACAAATTCATGTCCAAATCCAAGATCCAAGTATATAGTTATACAAATACAAGTTATCACAACACAGGACCTATTTGATCAATTAATGCTGTTTCTTCTTTAGGAAGTTAGGTAATGGAACAATGGGGGTAGTGCACCCCAGGGACAAGGCAAGAGAAAATAATATTCCCCAATGATGTGACCTAAGAATCACAGATATGGACATGGGATAGACACGACACAACACTGACACACAGACACGACATTTCTCTAAAAATTAGGACACGGACACATCGGGTACAAATTGAATATAATATATAGATAGATAGATAAAACCAATGTTATTTAAATAAAATTTGGTATAAAAGTTAAAACACATAAATAACATTAACATTATTAAGAAATCAATAAAACAAAACGACCGAATAAAAGTTCAAGAACTAAGCATCCATGATATTTTTCATTTAATCATCATTCAAAATTCCATAATTTTTAGTCAATATTCAAAAAATTCATAACTCTATCATTTGACACATAATCAAAAGATCGTCCATCCAAAAATTAACCGACAACCACAGAAAACATGATGGATGTGGGATATACACTTCTAGTTTTTTCTCTTTCTCCTTCTTGGTTCTTAATATTTTACTTTTGCTTTGCCTAATGGTTGGCAGGAGGTACCTTATTTAATATATTATCCTTATCTTTTATTTTTTAGTATGTATGTAGTTTTTTTCAATAATTTATATGTATATCCTCTATAGAAGAAGTGTCTTGGAAGTGTTCGCAGCATGTACTTAAAGTGTCCTCAATGTGTCCTAACATGTCTGTAATTCAAAAAAAAGTTTGGAATTTTTTACTTGAACTGAACTTTGCCTCCAATTTTGGCGACAGGAGTATGGGGATTACTGAAGCATTGAGGGTACAGATGGAAGTTCAAAAACAGCTTCATGAACAACTTGAGGTATGCCTTTGATACTCGGATTCCATTTTTATTATTGAGTATCTGCTCCTCAAGGCGGGGCTTACATTGGTGCCATGCTTTCATCAATAATGTTAGGAACACTAATAAACATATTAACAAATATACCAACTAAACACAATGCTAAGTGGACCATGGTGGACCCCAGTGCAAGTCTTGTGTCTTAATTGGTATGCTTGTAACTTGTAAGTACACTTGTTAGTATTCCTAGCATTACTGTACTTTTATGGGAGCTTAACTGATAATTCGAAGTGCAATTGATGCCAATTACTAGAACTCTGTATTTTCAAAATGGACAATTTTTTTTGATCAAAAGGAGTATGTTAATATATTATGAATACAAATTTTAGAGGAAACAGAAGAAAAAAAAAGAAGAAAAAAAAAGAGAGAAGTGAGAGAGTGCTGAATGTGCTCTTCTACGTTGAAGTATTGTACTTCCCATATTACAAGATATGCAATATTTGATACTATTTTGAATGACTGAAAGGATTATTTCTGAATTAGAAACGCAATTCTTCTGCGTCCCTTTCATCTACAGGTTTTTCTAGGTATAGAATATTTTAATTTGTAATTTTTTGTATTTGGGGGGGAGGGTTCAAAATCTTGTTTTTGTGGGCTTTTTCTTTTTAATGTAAATTTATGTGGTTTGCTTTTTAAACGTACTTTATATCCATTGCTATACCTTAAATTGCTGCAAATCAAATTAAAAAATCATAGAACCATAGAGAGACCTATTTTTGTTGGGAGGCCTATGTTTTGGTAGAGATTGTTTATTAGTTAAAAATCTGAACTTGAGTATATATTCTCCTTCAGATCCAGAGAAAATTGCAATTGCGAATTGAAGAACAGGGGAGGAACCTACAAATGATGTTTGAGAAACAGAAGAAGATGGAAGATGTAAGAATGAAAGCATCCTCTTCCAATCCCAATGTTCCGTCTCCATTACCAAGTACAGTGCAGCAGCCCTCCCTTGCCGATGAAAATTTAGAAGCCTCGAAGCAGGATAAAATTGTCAGGACAACAGGAAGTGGCGAAATGAGTGCCAGCACCGCACGTGAAGAAATTTCTCAGGATTCAAGTGAGAAGCAAACTCCTGACCCGGTCACTAGGGGGTCTAGTCCTCGACCTCTAAAGCGTGCAAGAGGAGATGAAACAGCTGCATCATCAGCTAAACTCGCATCTTGATTTAAACTTTTTACGGCAACGTTTGATCATCTCCTTGATGTGCCGTGGTGTGCCTGGATGCGGATTATGTTAGTCTTGTGGGGGAGTACTGCACTGACGGAGTCGAAGAATGGTTATTTGGAGTTCAGGCAAGGCAAGATTCTTGCAAGTAATAACATGCATTTTTCTTTTTCATTTTAACAAATAAGCAAATCATGTAGTTATTACTGTTTTATTATTTGCTTTCTTGAATTGCTACTGTTTTCAGATGCCGAATTGAATTTTGTTTCAAACTTTATATGCTTGTGAATATGCATCTAGGAATTACTGGGGGAATTTTGTTACATTGTTCTTTTTTTCTTTTCTTAATAATTTCTTCTGTAAGAGAAGGCTCCTCTATCTGATTTTACTTGTGAATAAGTTTATTGTATTGCAAATAACTGATTTTGAATAATCTTCTTCTAAACTCCAGCCACTCTTTTGAATAATCTTCTTCTTCTTCTTTTTAATTATATTTTTGTTTTGCAAAGGGTTCTACATGTACTCCTTAACTAAGTCATTTGCACACACCTTTTTTTTTTTTTTTTTCAAGGCTTTTCCAAAATATTTGCAAATCCCCAACCAGCCTCTATAATAATATTATTTCTGCCCAATAAGAGGTAGCCTCTTGGCATGGGATTATCTGTCCCATTCCCTATCAAAAAATTTGTTAGGAAGTCCCAATGTATTTGTCACATTGTGGGTGTTTGGGAAGTGACTATGTTAGAGATTTTTTGATTATTTTAGTAGGTTATTTTAGTTTTTGTGTTTGGAAAAATAGGATAGATTTTTATTTGAGTTGGTGTATTGAAAAATGTGTTGAAATGATGTTTAAGTTAAAATGACAAATTTGTCCCTAACTTTACATTTTCCAAAATTAATTTGAAGGGGTAAAATTATAATTTAGTTACCTGTCACTGTGACATTGGCAGGACTTTCACAGTGACAGCCACTGTCGGCCTATTTTTTTTTTTTTATTTTCAAAAAAAAAACTTTTGGTTTAGGACCTTTTAGGTTAAAATTGTTTTTAAGGCTATTTTAGCCCCAAATCTAGGTTCCCAAATACTCCTTTTGTTTATGTCGTATTCTCAACAAATAAGAAATTGCAAAACATATTCAATGAATTATTAAAGTTCTGTATTATATTATTAAAACCATCACGGCATGTTTCAATAATGCTGAATAATTACTTGACTCAATCATTTTTTTTCTCGTTTTTTTAATAATTGATTTTGGTTTTTTAAATATACATATATATATATATATATATATGTTTAGTTGAAACAATCATTTTTTTCTCACGTAGCATGTGGAACATTTTTTACTAAATTTCAATATAGAAATGCATCTTGAATTTTTATGTGTATCTGTTCAAATTTTATCTGTCAATTTTTTTTGGGTAAATTTTCTATCTATCCAAATTTTATTTGTGCAAATTTTCTATATGTTCCAAAAGTTAGAAATTAGGTAATGCAATTTAAACAAATTACATTTTGATCACTTGTAAAATTGAATGTGCAAAGAAAGAATGAAAATGGTAGATATTACATTGATTTAACAAAATGTTGCCCAAAAATAATTATTTATTAGCCTATGAACAATATAGTCAAAATTGGGATAGATAGAAAATTCCGACAGATATGTTTTTTTTTAAAATCTGTTTCATTATCATCATCATCATCAACGACGACAACAACAAATCACGGCATATTCAACTACAAAAATAAAAAAGAAAAAGAAAAAGAAAAAAGAGCATATTCATCTTTCTTTGCTTTTTTTATCTGTTGAAATTTGAAATTTTTTCTCTGTTGAGTGTTTGCGGGTTGGGTCTGGTTAATCTCATTTTTTGTATAATGATTGTTCAAATTTACAATTCAGACTAAAGTGAGAGGAATATGATAGTTTACGGAAATGATGAAATCTTTTCTTTAAGAACCAAATAAGAAAACAGTCTCACTTTAAGGGGTGAAAGTATAAATTACCCAACAAACAAATAAACAAAAAAATAAGATTTATTTATTTGAAATTGAAAAAATAAAATACAGTTGAAACTAATATTTTATAAATAATTTTGTTTAGTAGAAATTAGTTTGGCGAAAGTTAAGTTATGACAAAAATAACACTTAATATTTTTAATTGAGAGTAGCAATTTTTTGATATGACACAAACATAAATTCAAAATATTACGATACAATATTATGAAGAAAAACAAAATCACCCTGGTTGGTTTCGTTACAAAATATATTTTTTGAATTTTTTTTTAAAAAATTATTGAAACTAATTTGATAAAAATCAAAATAAAAAAAAATATTTTACCCTATAAAAGAGAAAATCATAAAAAAAAATAGTGATTTTTTTCTTTCACAAAAATATTTTTTATTTTTTAAGATACAAAAATAAGTAAGGAATAAATTACACTCACCTCTTTAAAATTTAGAAAAAATATATAATAAACTTCACAAATTCGATATAATTACTGTGACATCCTTTTTAGTAAGATTAAGGCAATTAAAACTAATATAAATAGTAGATAGATTTCAAAATAAATAAATATAGATATACATTTTAATATAAAATAAATGATAATATTACACAATTATATAAAAAATATGCATAGTTTAAAAAAAATAAAAACATGCTATTTATTGTATTTAAAAAAAAAAAATCAAAAGGCCTAACCAGAGACAAGACCTAGATAATAAAAAATTGAGACTCCAGAATTCACCCTTAAAAATTAGGGTAAATTACACTGACACCGCTTGAGATTTCTGTTTAATACAGATTTCTCTTTCACATTTGAAAAATTACACTTATTCTCCTGTTAGATTAAATGACATATTTATCTTTTAGTTTTTATACATATAAAATAATAAAATAATGTAGATATTTTGTTCATATCATTTTAAGAGAAATAACAATCATCTTCTTTGGTTTAACTCTCACAAAATATTTTTGTATTTTTTTATTTTTACTAAATGTTTTAATATTTTAAGTAATTTTTTTTAATTTTTTAGATACACCTAATCTAGATATACTTAAGAAGTATAATATTTTGTAATTTTTTTTAAATTCACCTAATATAAAAAAATAAATAAATAAATTCAATACATTATCTTATTTTGTTGTATTCAATGAAATTTTTTAAAGTTTTTTTTTTGTGCGCGTCTTATACTTTTTAAATATATCTAAATTAAATTGATCAAATCTAGGTATAATGGTGGAAATAAAAATGAAAAGTTATATTCATATATAAAAAATTATTCAAAAAAATATCATAAAAATGTTGTAATAGTGATATTGTTGTAAATATAAATAATGGTTATGAGTGTTTTGTTTTAAAATGAAATGTCACCATTAAGCTATATCATTGTGTTTGAAAATTCTATATAAAATTTATTTTTGTATATCATTCCTCAATAAAAATATGTTCAGATAGAATTTAATGATGAAAAGTTGTAAAATGTAGTTATGACGATAGGAATAATAAATGGTAAGAAAAAAGACAAAATGGTCATTAAAAAAATTTTAAGACATGATATCAATAATTTAGGGAATAATTTGTAATGAAATTACAAACTTCATAGAGGGAAATATAATTTTTTAAATGTAAAGAAAGATTTGTATTAAATAGAAACATTAAGGAGTATCAATATAATTTACCCTAATAATTACTTGTGTACTCCAGACGTCGTGGAGAGTTCGTCTTTAGGGTGTTTTGAAAAGTAGGTTAAAAGTTAATTTTTTAATTTTTTATGACCTTTTTTTTTTAAAAAAAAAATATGCAAAAAAATAAAGAGATAATGCAATAAAAAAAGCCAACAAAAATTAAAAAACTGACTTTTAATCTAGATGCCAAAATAAACCTAACTATCGCCTCATTTGAGAAGTTAGTTATTTTAGTAGGCTATCTTAATTTTGACTATTTTAGTAAGTTAAAATAATTGTGTTTGGGAAGGGGATTAGATTTTTTTTTGGTGATTGAATGTGATGTTTGTAAAAAAAATGAAAGTCACTTTTTGATTTTTAATCTGTATTATTTTTTTATTTTTTTACACATTTTTTAAAAAAAAAGTCAAAAAAACTAAAAAATTAACTTTAACCAACTTTTTAAAACAACTTTTATCTTTTTATAAATTTTAGTTAAAAAAAAAAATCTCCCAAACTCAAGTTGCGAAACATCGCCATTCGAATAATTGAGTCGAGAAAAGGTGAGACGAGAAATGTTTGGGATCCTTTTTTTTTTTTGGATTTCATGACCTCTAATTTGATATTGATCCTTGATGTGTGTGTAAAGTCCACTTATATATATATATATATATATATAGACCCCACATTATTTGGGAACTTGGTTTTTGAGTTTTTTTTTGTTTTTTTTTTTACTACAAGACAAATGTTTTAAAAAATAAAAAAAAAAACAAATCCAAACAAACTATCACATCAAATCTCATAATCATTTCACTTTTTTCTCTCATAAACATCACATCCAACCACAAAAAAACCTAACTATTTTTTCTAAATACAAATTTTTTTTCCTCTAATAATATCATACAACTAAAAAAACTTATAAAAAAACTTACTTCCCAAACATCGACTATAAGTAATTAGGATAAGAATGGGAGTTGTAGGGAACCTGGGTGTGAGGTGTCTATCATAGGGGTGGATGTGGGTCGGTTGCGGCCGCGGAACCTCAAATCCGCCATTCATTTGCCAGATTGGCGAATTGGATAAAATCAATTCAGATTACTAATAGTATACATAGATTAAAAATTGAGAATATAAAAATTGAGAGAAAGAATTGGACAAAACAATGAAGAATTGATTCATCACAATTGATATGTCATAATTAAAAAAAAATAAAATAAAAAGAAAATTTGAGAGAGAAACTTTGGGCGAAAATAAAGCATACTGAACTCTATATGGGGGATGGGGGAACTCTACAATAATCCATCAATAAGTCTAGAATACTTACAGTAAAAGTAGATAAGTGTAGATAAAGAATGACCTGAAAAGTTGTTTATTCTGAAAAACACAAACTCATAAAGCAACCTGCAAAAAAATTTACGTTATTACACGAAAAGATACAACGCAAAATAATGTTTGATTTAGTTGGAATATTTAGTATTACAGAAAGTACAATTAACATTATTACAAAAAAAAAAAACTAAAATACATATCTGTAAGACCCTAAATTATGGGAAAAAGCCCCTAAAAGCCCAAAAGTTTTTAAAAATTGAATTATGGGAGGTTGCTACTAAAAAAAACACATAAGAGAAACAAAAAATAACACAACATGGGCAAAGAGGTTGGTTTACTTCAATTAGAATTTTACGTTGTTAAATTGAGCCACAATTGTACACATGCGTACTTTGACTAATAGAGTACAATAATAATTTTGGCTTTGTAATTGGGTTATTATATATAAAGGCACAAAATGTAAATATTATTAAAGTTTTTTATAAATGAAACTAAAAAATTTAAAAATTACATTTTGACATAGATTAACATAGTCCAAATCAAATGGAAAAAAAATCCCAAACTTTTTAAGTCTAAGTCTAAACAATTACACACATTTTATGCTTCACAATTTTTTAAATATATATATAAAAAAATGAATACAAACTTACAATATAAGTTTTTTTTTTTTCTTTTTTTAGAAGGAATCTTTTTATTTTCTATGAAAAGTATAATTAACACATTTTATGCTTCACAGTTTTTTAAATATATATATAAAAAAAAATGAATATAAACTTACAAACATAGATGTTGATATATTTTTTTTTTTTTTTTTTTTTTTCAGAAGGAACTTGATATAACATGATGAATCTTTTTATTTTCTATGAAAAGTATAATTAACAGTAATACACCCAAAAATACAAATTGAAGATGCAAAACACTTACAATTATGTAAAATTTAAGAATAGTGAAGAACACTATATTTTTTAAACACACATTCTTTACACTACATTTTTTTCTACACAACATTATTTTAATACACCCAGAATTACACATGCGTATTTTTTGGGATTGAGACAAAATAAAACACAAAAACAAAAGCATAAAGGTTTAAAAGAGAACATTGAACATCAAATTCTGAAGTGTCGATAAGCATTTTGCTTACAGTCAAGAATAATGAAAACATGATAGAACATACAAAGAAGAATTCAATTACCAACTTTTTTCGTTAATGAGAACAGTCATTTGAAACCTTGTTTAAGTAAGCAATTGGAGTACAAACAATATCAAAAAAAAAAAAACATAAAAAAATTATTTCAAACATTAAGACCAATCCGAACATGAAAAAGGGATAATTGAAAGGCCTAAGTTGTTGTTGTTGTTATTGTTTTTTTTTTTTTTTTCCTCTTAGTAAGCAGGGATCAATCAAAGTGTTGTTAGTTTGCAATGGTTCCAGCATTTCATCAAAAACCTGGTGGCCAAAAGCATAGATAGAGAGGTCCACATGCTTAAAGAAAAAGTTCCTTAAAAAGAATGACAGTAATGTTGAAAATGTTATTCCAGTGAGTCTATGCAATAAAGGACTTCGTTTGATACAGTTAAAAAAAAAAAAAAAAAAAAAAGAGATTTGCTTGCTCATGCAAAAACCCCCCATTTCAGTGTTTTTAATTCATGAATCCAGAAAAATATGTCTGGAAAACTCTGTTTTTGATTTATGGGTTTGTCTATTTTTACTTCTTTGATCTTTGATATATCTATATATATATATATATGTATGTATGTATGTTTGTATATCAAAATTGATAATAAGAGGGAGATTTAAAAATGTATAGTTGATCTGGTGTTCTAGCTTGCTAAAATCTCTCTTTTTTAATTCATATTATAATATAAATTTCATATTATTTTTTCTAATGGATACAAAATACGCAACTTCCAATATAAAAAGGAAAAATGGCATGTGTCGGACTCTACCATTCTCTAATTATTTTCCTCGGTTGTCCCCTTCACAGCATGAAAGAAATGCAAATCAAATTTTTTGTAATGATATTGCTGGCAATTTTGAGGGCAATCATTGGCATCTCAACATCCTATATTTCCAACATGACTTTAAAATCTTACATCTCCATCCATATAATTTATGCCTAAACAATTTTCCCTCTAGTTCCGTTGCTAATAAAGGGTGAGAAAATGACACAACATTAAAAAATTTTAACCCATGTAGTTTCCACTGTTTTAGCTTCCCAAATGTGAACATCTCAACTCAAGCAACCCAAAGTTGTATTAGTCCAAGCATAGTGCATATTTAGTAACTTTAGTATGATGAAAAAAATCAAGGACCGAAGCTATTGTTTTTATTTCCTATACTATTCACAGAACTAAACAGATTATGTAAAACAAAATAGAGAAACATTAAGAATGTTCGGGAAGAGAAAGACTGACCCATTTTTTTCTGAGAGCAGAGTGACCACACCAAAGATGAAGAACATGAGAAGCATTCCAGAGTGCTCAAAATCGTTCATGTGAGATGGGTTCAAGACACCGTTGACAAAGAACTTGAGGTGCGTAGAATTCAAAAGTTCTATGCACATATCAATAATAATGTGAGAACGAAGGGGAGAGAGAGAGATAGGAAATTGAGTATTGGGTAGTTTTTTTTGAACAACCAAGTATTGGGTAGTTGAAAGAGGGAGAAATGGAAAACGTGGGATGTGATTTGTTTTTGCTATAATGTGAGAACGAAGGGGAGAGAGAGAGATAGGAAATTGAGTATTGGGTAGTTTTTTTTGAACAACCTAGTATTGGGTAGTTGAAAGAGAGAGAAACTGGAAAACGTGAGATGTGATTTTTTTTTTTTTTTTCAGTCAAATCATGTAATTTACACGTGGACATGGTAGAGGCTTCATGACACCAAAATTGGTGTTGGCTTTTAATAATAGAATAGATATAGACCCCACATTATTTGGGAACTTGGTTTTTGAGTTTTTTTTTGTTTTTTTTTTTACTACAAGACAAATGTTTTAAAAAATAAAAAAAAAAACAAATCCAAACAAACTATCACATCAAATCTCATAATCATTTCACTTTTTTCTCTCATAAACATCACATCCAACCACAAAAAAACCTAACTATTTTTTCTAAATACAAATTTTTTTTTCTCTAATAATATCATACAACTAAAAAAACTTATAAAAAAACTCACTTCCCAAACATCCACTATAAGTAATTAGGATAAGAATGGGAGTTGTAGGGAACCTGGGTGTGAGGTGTCTATCATAGGGGTGGATGTGGGTCGGTTGCGGCCGCGGAACCTCAAATCCGCCATTCATTTGCCAGATTGGCGAATTGGATAAAATCAATTCGCATCCGTTCGCTAATCTGGCAGATGTGGATTGAGCAGATTGGCGGATGGATGCGAATCAGTTTGGCGGTTTAAAATTTTATAAATTTTCAATATAATTCAACTTGTGCACTTCTAAAAAAAAAATAAAAAAAGTATTACAGTCAATGACTTAAAAAATAATACAATCATTGTATGCTTCATCCACATATTACAATTACAACATACTCCATCTACACAAAGTATTATAATTTATAGTTTTTAAAATATAAAAACAATTCAAACCACCAAAATAATGAATAGAGTAGTAGAGATTGTATGTCTCTGCATTGTTACATCTATATCTATTTATGAAAACAAAAACTAACCGACGTATATCATTTTTTTATTTATTATTTTTACAGTTAAATTTAAAAACAAAAAAATATAGATAAATAATATATTTATTTTTTTCAATTCAAAAAACATGTTTAAGTTGAAAACTCTTTTTCAACATAATATATTTAACAGAATATTTAAACTCTTTTTCAATTGAAAACACAAATAGAATATCTAAACAACTGAAAATATAAAGTTTTGCAAATAACAAGGGGTGCTCACGATTTGACGATTTGATTACGGTCAAAAGAATCTCAAATCAATCATCCGTTCAAAATTTGACAAATTAAAAAAAATCAAGCCGAATTAAAAAAAATCAAACTGTAATTATCTATTTGTCATCACATACCTATTTAAAATACGAGGAATCGATTCGATTCGATTCGATTCGATGGGTTTGAACGGATATATCTCCTCCGCACCCCTATCACAATTGGAAGTGAGACCTTATACCGCAAGGGCTTAGCAAGTGACAAAACAAAATCCGAAATCACGCACCACACATGGAGAAGTACTGAACTCAACACAACCACCAAGGCAGCAACTTGAGTAATTGTAATTGATATCATATCTTTGTCTTTCCCAATTTTTCAATCTCAATCTTTACAGCAACTTTCTCAAACTCACACATACATACATACACCTAGAGAGAAAGAGAGAGAGAGAGAGAGAATGTTGTTTCAGGTGGGAGGACAAGGGACTCGTCCCACCTTCTTCGAGATGGCAGCTGCTCAGCAGCTCCCTTCCAGTCTCAGAGCCGCCCTCACCTACTCTATCGGTGTAATAATCCCCCTTTCCATTTCAATCTCACTCATTTCTATTCAGACAAAAAATTACTCAATTTAGGGTTCAATTTTGTAATTGATTGTAGGTTTTGGCTCTGCGAAGACCCTTTCTCCATAAAGTGTTGGACTACGAAGATGAGTTCTTTGCCTTGCTCATGCTCGTTCTTGAAACTCACAGCTTACGTACTACAGGTTTTCTCTATTTCTATTGTATTCACCACCAACTCTTTTCAAACTTTGTCTCACTATTTTCTCTATTCTTTAACTCCTAACAATTTTCAAATTCAACCCATCTTTCTCATTCATCCAATCGTCCAAAAATTTACATGTGAAGGTTGATTCATACTTTAGCATATAAAGAAGTTAGTGACTTAGGCCATGTTTGGTAGAATTTTGCAATTAAAGCTTTTTTGTTATTAGGGTTATGAGGGAAAAAAAGAAAAGAAGGGGGGGCTTAAAACATCAAGTTCTTAAAATTTCACAGCTTTCAAAATGGATTTTCGAAAATATGCTGAAAGGCTGTTAGTTTCTGATGAGGGAAGGAAATGTTATAAAAACTTGTTTAGAGAAGGATGTGGTTGGAGTAAAGTACTTAATTAATATAAAGCCTGCACGACCTAATGGCCTGTAATTGAGTCTTATCAAATTGCTGTTTTGAAACAAATTGATGATGGTTGAGGATAAATGTTCTCTTTGCATGCTTTAAGTACTGCCTTGGAGACACCAACACACGACACTCTGACTGACAGTTTTTAAAAAAAGTGTAGGGCATGACTTGTCCAGGACACACAAAATATATGGTTTTATATATTTATTATATGTTATATATATATGAATATTTCACTAAAAAATAATGCAAAAAATGCAGCATAAGACTAATTCCTAAAGTCTACATACAAGAGCAGGGATTAATAAGTGAAAATTTACATAATTTTTCTTTTATTATTGGATCTCAAGTTATTTTCTTTAAACTTGTAATGTGCTTCATGCGTATCTAAGCGATTGGCACTTGTATATCCCAAGTGTTTGAAGCTTGTCCTGGTATACGGACACATTTGGACGTTTGTTCAACATGTGTCAAGAAATGTCCAACAAGTATCAATGTTTGACACAGACACGTTACCTTCATGGAAGTGCGTGCTTCTTAACATGCTGCTGGTGCTAGCTGATTACAAATGATAAGGAGTGGCATTCCACTTTAGTCAGTTACTAGTTTCGCTTCCAAAGGTTGTCAAACTAGATGCCCATTTAACAAATATGGTGTGGATTATTTCAATTTGTCAATATGTTTATATGAGAATCAGAATGCTTTCCTTCTTGAAGCCCCAATGTCATCTCTAGAGATACACTCATATGTTTACTTTAAATCAATAAAGACCATGTGAAGGCTGTATGCCATCTGACTTTTAAATCCTTCATCAATGCAAGTGGTCGCCACACAGTTAATTTTTCAACTTTCAACCGCTCCTCTCTCTGCCTTGACTCAGTCTTTCGATGTGTCCATCAACAACTCTGATCTGACAGGTTTGTCTTCATAGTTGTGACCGTCATCAACAACTTTGAGAAAAGTCAAATTCATTGCTATCTTTCTCCTTATAGATCGTTAATAATGCCAACCACCTTGGTAGTCCTCCATTTCCAACAAAACTGAATCTTAAACTTCTTGCTTGTAGACAAATGCACTATCTTCACATCCTGATATACATACATACATATATATATATATATATATTTTAAATTTATGTTCATTTTTGCTATTCAAAATCAATTCATTAACATGTTGTCTCATCTAACTGTCATAACACTTCTCAATGTTATCAAAGGCGCACCATGGCGCATGCCTAGGCGCAAGGTGCACCTGAGCTGCCTCCTGAGACGAGACAACTTTAATAAAGTGCTGTCAAGGCTTGAGGTTCGCTCGTCTTTGAATTGTGTCCGATTTGTTAAATATATGATATCAACCCTTCAATCCAGTGAAGCCCATTATGATTTCATGTGTTGGCACATCTTATCAAAGCCCCCAAATAAACAAAGATCCTCATCCCTAGTCAACAAATTAAAACTGCAAGCCAAAACTTTTATATTTTGACTCTCTCTCACACACACACACATACATAGATGATAATCTGTGGGGCTTGCTTACTTTGGTGAAATATTTACTAATGCGTCTTCAAACGGAAGATGTTACTGAGTTGGCATCGATTAAAACACTTAGCGTCAATTTAACACAAGGCAGTATACTATTGGCCATAAGCATGACTTGCAAGGTTACAGTTAGAACTATATTGCACACTATCCTCAATTCTTCTTCATTACCGGTCTGCTATTTTCTTGACCCTCCATTTTCTGAACACCACCCACCCTCCCCAACCCAAACAATTGGAGCAATAAAAAAAAGGAAGAAAGAAGAAAGAGTTGTCATGCTGGCCACCACTATCAGCTTTCCTATTTCCCAAGGACATGTTTCTTATGCAAGTTTGTTAAACCAGGTCTAGTTTTGAGGTCTTTTAACAGGAAATTTACTGGTTTTGATACTTTTTGGCTAATTTATTGTGTTGTGTACTCACAGATGCTTCTTTTGCTGAATCTTTATATGGCTTGCGAAGGAGAGCAGTTAAAATAAGAGTGAAAAAGGATAATCCTCGTTCAGACGTGGGTGACAGGATTCATCACTCAGGGTTGGAGAAGCACCAAAAAGTTCTCTCAGTTGTTTTTATGGTACAAAATTCCACTTCTATTATTCAACTATGAATTTGCAATGAGAATCTGAATTTGGCTTCATGACTTGGTATAAGAATCCTTGTGTTTGTATTGTGAGGAAACCTTTTTCTATCCAACAAAGAGGATTCAGAATCATAAACTTTTAAGCAGAAACTACTAGTTAGCAGGAAAGCTGTGTATGAATTAGTTGAAGTTCATGCATTGCTGATTTATTGATAAAGTTTTGTTTGTTTCATTGCTGTATTTTTACCGTGCCAGTATTCATCTAATTACATATGGAAATGATACAATTCTTGGCTACTTTTATGGCCAATTTGTACCTTTGAAATATTTCGTCACAGGTACAGCCATATAGAGTTGCACTTTTATACTAGCTGTTGTGCCGAAGGTGCATGTTGTGAAGCTTTACATACACTTGAAAACAAGTTAGGCTCTGGAAGTGTCTGCTAGTGGAGTGAAATAATTTCTTCTGTGTGATTTTAGTAGAGGTTTTGAAACTTTTATGCTTGCCTTAGAGTTTTTGGTGAACTAGAAAACATTTTTCTTTGTTATTATCCAAGTATATCACTTGTTGATCACCATTCCATTGTATCATGTTGTATATATTTATATATGCAAACATAATTTGTCTATATATTTGTATTATTTTATATTGTAGGGATTCACAAACAATTCTGGGAGATGATTTAAGATTAACATATGTATAAGCTTTGAGATTTTATTTTTCTTGATCCATTTAAAGTGTATCCTTCTTCTTCTTTAAGATGTTGAACGCCCTTTTTGATCCCACAGTGCTCTCCAAGAAATTATTATTTGTGGTCAACTACTTGAATCCTCCCTTTGTGTGTGTGTGTAAGTTTTAGGCTTGTTCGGAGAGAAATAGTGAAACAATTTTTCTGTTTCTCTAACTGAGAGTACAAGAGTTTACAGATAATAGCAGTGATACTGTAAACCCCCAGTGAAAGTTTGAAAAATTGTTTAACGTGTCAGTATTTTTTGTAGTGAAAGAGTTTGTCATGTTAGTGGCTCAGGTAGCTATGCATAGCTAAGTGTTATCAGCAGTTTTAAAAATCATTTATTTCCTCAAGGAGTTCTCCTTCTCTTCTAATGCTATAGCTGGACAAAAGGGTAATAACTTGTGAATTACATATATTTTTGTAGGTTGTATTGCCATATTTTAAGTCAAAATTGCATTCCATCTATAATAAAGAAAGGGAAACTAGACTTCGAACTAGTTTGTGGGGAGATGGTGATGAAAGGTTTGATGATGCTGACTATCTTGATGGAAGTGGTAATTCTTTTGTTTCCACAAGTCGTTCAGATGTAGAAGCATCAGTGGCGACACATTTGAAGAAAAGGATTCAGAAGATTGTAGGTGCTTGCTACCCATGGCTACATGCCGGAAACGAAGGTTCATTCAACTTAAATTTGTCTCTGGCCTTTTTTCTTCAGAAAAACAACACTTATTTTTGGAGTTCATACCCGTGTACTTACCAGTGGCTTGATTAAATTTAATGATTCACAATTTAAATTTAATTCTTAGAACTTTGTTCCTGTTTTTAATAAAATTTACATCTAATCAAAATGTACAGTTTTGTTTCTTCTTTGTTTGCATTTTAATATTTCTTCGTGTCCTACATCTGCTGTATAAACATATAAATTTTTATTGTAGAGCGCAAATTGTTCTAAAGAATTTGATTGATGTCTCCCAATTAGGGGTGCCAAATTTTGATGTGTCCTGCCAACCCCTCCAAACCTAACCCTTATTTTTTAGGGTTTGGGTTGTGATTGTCCGCCCATTTAAATAAATGGGTCCAGTTTAAGTTTGAGTTTCCTAACCAGTTTATAAATGCGTTTGGGTTGACCCTAATTGACTTGACTATTCATTATACTATGATATATTGATATTTAAATAAAGATCAATGATTTTCATAGCATTAAGTTCTTATAATTAATTTGTATTGTATTTAGTATATTTTTTTAGGGAGCTTTTTTGATAAATTCACTTTTTAAGAGTTTTATTCCATCCAACTCATATTCTTTTTGACTATTCCATTAGGTCCTATTTGAAATAAGAAGACCAAAATACCATTTTCATCTACTTATGTTCCATTTCGTTCACATTATTTTCTTATGTTTCAATAAGTCCTATGGGTGACATAATTACCAAAATAACCCTAATGTGAATGTTCACACCGTCAATGTGAATGTTCATATCGTCAATGTGTAGGGGCCCGGCCCATGTCGATCCTTGTGGGTGTCCGGAAAAATTCGAGTCGGGCCGGAGCGGGCCCGGCCCATTGACAATGTGAATATTCACATTGACATGTTAACATTCACATTAATAAGAGTATAAAATTGGCCTGCCGCCCATGGGCGGCCAAAAGCCAGCCCACGGCTCTGGGCGGGTCCGGCCCGACCCGTTAACAATGTGAATATTCACATTAATAGGAGTGTAAAATTAGCCCACGCCTCGTGGCTGCCCAAAATCCGCACACGGCCCGTGGGCGGACCCTGCCCGGCTTGGCCTGTTGACAATGTGAATATTCACATTGACATGTTAACATTCACATTGATAACAGTATAAAATTGGCCAGCGGCCCAGGGCGGGCCCGACCCGGCCCGTTGACAATGTAAATATTCGCATTGACATGTTTTAACATTCACATTAATAGGAGTGTAAAATTAGCCCGTGTCTCGTGGCTACCCGAAACCCGCCTACGGCTCGTGGGCGGCCCGGGGCGGGCCTGGCCATTTTTTTTGAATTCTTTTTAATTTTTTCTATCAAAATTTTATTATTTTTCACAAAAAAAGACACTAGGCCTCGGCGCGGGCCGGGCCGGGCCTCGGACCGAGCCTTGAATGGGCCTTAACGGGGCCGATGGGCCGGGCTGGGCTTCAAAGTGATGTCCCAGGCCCTAGGCTCGAGCCTAGGGTCTCGGACTAGGCTCGAGCCTGGGCCCAAACGAGCCTTTCCCGGGTCGGGGCCGGGCCAGCCCAAAAAATTAGGCCCAGGCCCTAGCCCTGGCACAAGGGTATTCGGGCTTTGGACGGGCCGATGGATCGAGACTCAGGTCGGGCCGGTAGGCCTGGGCCTAACCTCGAGCTTAGGTCGGGCTTGGCCATTTTTTTTAAATTTTTTCTACCAAAATTTTATTATTTTTCACAAAAAAATACATTGCGTTTCGGGCGGGCTGGGTCTCGGACTGAGCCTTGAATGGGCCTTAAGCGGGCTGATAGGCCGGGCTGAGTTTCAAAGTGATGACCTAGGCCCTAACCTAGGGTCTCGGACATGCTCGGGCCTGGACCGAAACGAGCCTGCCCCGGGCCGTGGGCGAGCTTTGGGCAGCCCACAGGCTGCGGGCCAATTCTATATTCCTATCAATGTGCATTTTAACATGTCAATGTGAATATTCACATTGTCAACGAGCCGGGCCGGGCCGGGCCTACCCCGAGCGGTGGGCAAGTTTCGGGCAGCGGGCAAATTTTACACTCCTATCAATGTTAATGTTAATATGTCAATGTGAATATTCACATTGTCACGGGTCGGGCCAAGCCCGCCTTGTGCTGCGGTCGGGTTTCGAGCCGCCCATGGGCTGTGGGCCAATTTTACACTATTATCAATGTGAATGTTAACATGTCAATGTAAATATTCACATTGTCAACGTGAATATTCACATTGTCAACGGGCCGGGTCGGGCCCACCCTGGGCTGCTAACCAATTTTATATTCTTATCAATGTGAATGTTAACATGTCAATGTGAATATTTACATTGTCAACAGGCTGGGCCGTCCATGGGCCGTGGGCGGGTTTCAGGCAGGCATGAGACGCGAGCGAATTTTACACTCCTATCAATGTGAATGTTAACATGTCAATGTGAATATTCACATTGTCAACGAGCCGAGCCAGGCCCACCCCGGGCGGCAGGCGGGCTTTTGGCTGTCCATGGGCCGCGGACCAATTTTATACTCTTATCAATGTGAATGTTAACATGTCAATGTGAATATTCACATTGTCAATGGGCCGGACCGGACCTGCCCCGGGCCGCCCATGGGCCGCGGGCAGGCTTCGCGCCGCCACGAGACGCGGGCTAATTTTACACTCCTATTAATGTGAATGTTAACATGTCAATGTGAATATTCACATTGTCAATGGGCCGGGCCAGTCCCGGCTCGCGGGCCGGTTTCGGGTCACCCACGGGTCAATTTTACATTCCTACCAATGTGAATTTTAAAATATGAATGTTCACATCATAAAATTGCTAACCGTTCAAAAAATATTTATAAAGGTATCAAAATTAAATATAAGGGCATAAGCAAGGTTTTAAAAAGCGGCCGCAACTGTTACGTAACGCTGTTACGTAACGGTTTTGGCGGTTACCGCCACCCGTTACGGCCGCTTTTGCAGTGTGATGGAGATTCACAGGTATGTTGGCCGTAGCGGCTGCCATAGCGGTCGTAACAGTGCCGTAACGGCTTGTTACGCACTGTTACGTAACGGTTCCAAACTGTTTCTTTCGAAAAAACACAAAAAAAACTGAAAATTGGGGAAGAGAGATAGAGAGAAGAGGGAAGATAAAGAGAGAATGGAGGAGCAAGAGATAGAGAGAGAGAAGAGGGAAGATGAAGAACATGTTATTGATTTGTTGAAACTGTAAGATTTATGCTATTCTATTCAGCTGTTATCACTAAACCATTTTGTTTGTGTGTATCTATCTATATATTGTTTGAAAATAATAATAATAATAAGTATGGTCATTATCTATTTGGCTTGGTTAAAATATATATATATATATATATATATTTAGGCTTTTATTTATTCTCTTACTTTTATCATTATTTATCTTATATATAATAGTTAGTGATTGATTTTTTGTATAATATAAAGTTATTAATTATTAAAATAAAATGTAAAAAACTCAGTTTATAGTGATTTAAAAATATGAAATATATTGGATCATATTTAAAAATTTACAAAAATTTATCAATATTTATTTTTAACCCAATAAATATGATCATGGAAAAAAATATGCGTATCGGTAAGTTTTTTTCAAATTGTGTGAAAAATAAAAAAATTCACGGTTTCGGTTACCGCAACCGTTACACTACGGCCTTTACATCCCGCAACCGCAACCGCGTCACCGCCACCGTTACGGCGACTGCAACCCCTTTTCAGAACCTTAGGCATAAGTGTCCAAGAAAATAGTGTAAATCAAGAAAAATGACTTTATGGAATAAAACTATATATACATGGGACTAAATGGGTTAAAAAATTCCTTCATGGACTTCTTGGGTTAAAACACTTCTAAATGGGATTTATCAATAAAAATCCCATTTTTTTAACATGTCATGATTACTAAAACATATTAGCACTAGTTAACCAGAGATCGAATCTCACTTTAGGGTCCTCTAATAGAGAAGGGAGAGAACAGATTTTGGGTGAGTTTTGGAGAAAGTGTAGGTGAAAAGTGATGGTTTGAGAGTTATGGGGGTATTTATACTTGGGGTCAAAAAATCATTTTTTTTTCCTGGTTAAATCGTGTGAAAAGCTAGTCTGTTCCTGACAAGACTTGAGCGATGAATCTCAATTCTCGGTATCTCTGATCTCAGATTGAGATACAACGAGTCTGCATCTAAAAGCCTAACCAAGGTCAAAAACCACAACCCCAAAGCTCAAACATGTCTCTAAACTAAGTAACATAATCCTACTAATCCCACTTTAAGTTGAAACCACCCAAACATTACCCAACATCGGATTTAATTAACTTCGTAAGAAAGAAGAACCCACACCCCTCCTGGCTATATACTGTTCATTAGATGGGGCCACTTAAACAAGAATTACCCAAGAAAACACCATTTGTATTATTTTTATAACATGCTGATGTATTTTCTTTTGTAACATTATCTCTCCAGAGATTGTGTAGGAATTTTCAGGCCACCTTTCAATTTTCTCAATGATAATCTCCTATCCAATGTGCTTTAAGCTTAGCCTCTTTTTTTAACTGTGCAGGATTGTCATTTGCATATCAGTTGTTGTATCTGTTGGATGCTACTGGTTTCTATTCACTTGGATTACATGCACTTGGGATCCATGTCTGTCGAGCTACGGGGCAAGAGCTGGTATAGATTTGAAAATATATTTTTAGAAGTTTTGCAGATAATTTATCTTTCTTCAAATTTAATGCAATTATCTCTTCTGAATAAGAAAAGGAGATTTCTATATAGCATCGCATGTTTCGTGTATTCTTTCTTCAGGAACGGTGTATAAGGCAACTGTGTAATTGAGCAATTATTTCTTGACTTAAATATGCATGTTTGAGCTATTTATTGATTTTCCATGGATCATATCTCGGAGACTCGACCAATAAGATTATCCATTTATTTTCATCAAGTGCAATAATTATGGATTATTGTTAAAATTCATGTATTATTGATTTATATATTGATATCTGATTGTTGTATTATTGATATTACAAGGAGTCCTATTATATAGAAGATGATTTGGGTAGTAGGTGAGGAGTAGGTGAGGGTAAATTGGTGGTAGGTGTAGTAGGTGTGGTAGTAGGTGGTGGTAGGTGTAGGTAAATTCTAACAATTATATTGTGCTCTAACTGTTCTCTTTCTTTCTTTCTTTTTATTTTTATTTTTCCCCCCTTCTATTATTTAGGATGCTGTGTTAATGAAACTTGCAAATCTTTTCATTCTCTGTACTGGTTGGTTGCACTGACATCATACATTTTTTTTTTTTCTTTTCATAGCATTTTCCTGGGGGATCTTCCTTTCTATTACAGTTACTTTGTTATCTCATTATTTGGAGGTGTCTTATTTTTAGGATAACTGGGTCATTATTTATATTTATATATTTTGAGACTTCCTATACATTATGACTTCTTTTTTGTTTATTTGTTTATTTTTTATAGTCACTAACTCTTCAAGTATTAATTTTTCGGCCTCATAATATGCCATAAGACAATCACCATGTATCACCTGTCACCAATTTTTCAAAATTTTGAGCTGGTTTGTATCAATATCAAATTATGTTTAACATGCTAGGCACATCAATCATTTAGCCCTGGGTGCTTTCTATCTTAAGCCTTTGTGTACCTGATTGAATCCATTACTTCTTTTCAAGCAATTTGTATGGACTACATTAGTGAATATAAAAGTGTATAATTACAGATATTTTTCTTGGACGGATAAAAAGTATCTTTATCATTCTATTTGTGTTATCTCATTGTTTTGAACATTATTACTTTTTGATGTCAAGGTAGATGGATACCTCTTCTAGAATTTCTAAGATAAGAAGCCGTGAACGCGAGAGGCTCCGTGGCCCTCCTTGGTTGAAGGTATGCATTGATTATTTGTAGTTTGGTTGGCTAAATAAGGCTGGTGACTTAATTTATATTTACATCTTTGTTTGCATGAAGTAATCACTAAATTATTTGATTTCTGTGTTCCATTTTATGTAAAGTTACGAAGATAACTGTAACATTTGTTCTTTCTTCATAAAAATTAGGCTTTCTATAATTTTTATGTTTGTGTCCATAAAATTCCACATGGTGGAGGAAACCGCATAAAGTCAGATGCGATCTCTTCAAGGCAGGTAGTGTTCCTGCATTGAATAGCCTTAAAAACTTAGGCTGTGTTTGGTGTAGAGTTGTAATCATGATTTTCACACCCATATTTGAGTGATGTGTTTGGTTATAATTGGGAAATTTGGCCATAAACCCCTCCTTAGCTTCCTTTTCTTGTTAAAAGGACAGAAAAAAATTTAATACTTTCAAAACCCCTTTATAATTATAAAATTCTGTCTAAACAACAAAACTTGTTATTTGAATATTTTATTTGACCATTATACCTTTTCTGTCTTCCATTTCTTTTACAGCACTCTCTTTTTCTCTCTCTCTTTTCAATGGTTGTTTGTCGTCTCCATCATCTTCATCATTTATCATCGTCGCTCATTCCCACCGTCAGCCGGCAACCACCATTTTTACCGTTAAACCACCACCATCTCAGATTTGATACCTACGAACTCATATTTGAGATCAATAACTTCGGATCACCTTAGATTTGACAGAAAAATGAGAAATCGAGATATTGTAATGAAAAATTAAGAGTTTTTTTACTTGTTTGTTTGTTCACAGATCTAAAAGGAAAATTTGACTCTGGTTCGTTCATATGTATTCTGTTTTTGTAACAGTAAAATTTTACTGTGGTTAACAACATACTGTAAGAAATAATGTATAGAGAAATGTATTGATATAATGTTATATTTATTACAATGATTCATGATTCCTATATATAGAAGAGGGTGAGTGTGTAGTAGGTAAGGAGTAGGTGAAGTGGAGGTGGTAGTGGTGTAGTGGGTTAGGTTTAGTGGGTGAAGTAGGTGATAGGTTTTAACACATACTAATCTGCTTAATGACAGTAAAATTTTACTCTGATTTAGAGTAAAATTTTACTCTTTTTTTTTTTAATTTAAATTACAAAGTAAAATTTTACTCTGAGAGTAAAGCTTATTATAATTCAAAGAAAAATTTTACTTTAAAACAAGTTGCGATAATAGCGTTACAAAAGAGTTTTGTGTCTTGAACCAGAGTAAAATTTTACTGTTGAAAGAACAAAGCATCGTGAGAAGAAGAAAGAGAGATAGAGAGATAGAGAGACAGAGTTCGAAAACAGAGGATCAAGAGAAGAAGATGAAGATGAAAAAGAGAGAGAGAGAGAGAGAGAGAGTGAAGGATCTTAGATTTGAGGTTTGCGAACCGTCGCAAATCGTCATTTTTCCCCTGATGACAATTATGAATGAGCTCAAATTTGAAATTGTGGATGCAACAAATGATGGTGGTGATGAAGACGGTAGAGAAAGAGTTTCATGGTGAGCGGCGGTGGTGCCGATGGAGAGCACCGATGGCACCGATGAAGAGAATAGTGATAAGTGCGAGACAGAGAGAAGAGAGATTGAGATGAGAGAGAGTGATTACAAGTTGATATACACACACACACACACATATAAGGGTATTATAGTAAAAGAAATAAATTTTAAAATACTAGGGGATTTTGAAAGGATCTATATAATTCTTATCCTTTTGAAGGACAAATTAGACACTGAGAGGTTTACACCAAATCCCCCAATATAATTCTCAAAAATTAATTCTACACCCACGTTTGAAAACTCTTCCTAGAATATGGGTGGCAGACAGAGTACTTGAGTTTTGAATTTCGAAATTTAGCCTACCCGGTCATCCGCTGGGACATCCTCCGGGGCAGTTTTTGAATTTTTGGGGTTACTCAGTTGTTAAAATGAATGTATTATTGATTGATATATATTGTTGATATATACTATTACAAATCAGAGTGGCTCATTATATAGGAGAGGGTTTGGGTAGTAGGTGAGGAGTAGGTGAGGGTAAATTGGTGGTAGGTGTAGTAGGTGTGGTAGTAGGTGGTGGTAGGTGTAGGTAAATTCTAACATCAGTCGTCCTCCAGGATATCCGGCCGGTTGAACGAAACAATGGTTTTTTTTTCTTGCAGTTGTTATGTGAAATTTTTTTTAAATAAATTTATTGAATTTTAAAGAGAGTTTAGTTATGAGTTTTGAATATAATTTTTAATAGAGTTTTGAATTGTGTGTTTGGTTATGTGTTATAAGTTTTTGAATTAAGTTTTGAAAACTCTTTTTAAAATTCATAATCAAACAACTTTTCTTATTTTAAAACTCATTTAAAAAATTCAACACTCAATTCAAAATTTAATTCAAAACTTTTTTCAAAACTTATAACCAAACAAATTTTCTCTTTTCAAATCATAATTCCAAAACTCACAAACTCAAAATACAACTCTATTATCAAATCATAATTTTAAAACTCTACCAAATGCTACCTTAATCTTCTTTTTCCATGACCCCATTTATATTCTAGTACACTAGCCCAAACCAAAATTTAATTCAAAACTTTTAACCAAACAAATTTTCTCTTTTCAAATCATAATTCCAAAACTCACAAACTCAAAATACAACTCTATTATCAAATCATAATTTTAAAACTCTACCAAATGCTACCTTAATCTTCTTTTTCCATGACCCCATTTATATTCTAGTACACTAGCCCAAACCAAACTAAGCTTTCTGGTTCGACTGGTTGAACCATTTGGCTGCTTCCTCGAACCTGCCTGTTTACACCACATAATCATGTAATTAACAATTCTTTAGTAGAGTGTTCCCCACATCAATTGCATCTCATGACTCACACTTCAAGTCGCTTGCGGTTCTTACTTGACAAACTTTTGTTGCTCACCAGGATCGCATCCTGAATTTGAGGGGTAGGTGTGAAGCAAACAATGTATTTTGCTGTTTTTTCTTCTTTTCCTCTTTTAGTTTAGGGATAGTTTTGTATCTTTGTTACATTTTAGTTGTTAGGACCTTTTCTTATATTTGTAATAGTTAATTGACTTTATTTGGGGTTGGGAAGTGGGAGTGCACCCTCGTTCACAAGCTAACTTTTGGAGTTGAGTTCTATCCAAAATCGTGTCAAAGACATAACACTTAAATCTTGCATTTTTTATGGTACAATGCCATGACCATCACTGACTCATTGTGGACTTTGCCATCACCATAAAAAAATATCATATTTTGTTATGTAATTTAATGACACTACCGCCAAGTAATCAGATAATTGTGAACCATTCTCATTATGGTTGTCAGCCTTTGCTAATTCTTTACGTATTTTCCATTGATATGCTTTGTCATGGTGTTCTGTTATCAATAGTTGTAACAATTGAAATTGAGGTTATAAAGTAAATTTATTTGACGTATGTTACATTTCAGGCAGTACAAGGAGCGTTGCTCGGATGTACGTATACAGTTCTTGACTATGCGCAAACTGGTCTAATTGCTGCTGTATTCTTCTTTAAGGTGAGTGTGCTACCTTTTTATACAGTGCACTAGCCTGATTAAGAGTACTGTATTAACAGATAACTTAAATGTTTCCGTATTGTTCTTGTTCAAGCTCAGCTTAACAAAACTGTTCACTAATTACTTGGGGTTGGCTATTTGGATCCATTTTTCTCCCATTGGTTCTATTCGAAGCCATGTATGATTCTTGATATTTGTGGTCTAGTCTTTTATGCTTGAGTGATTTGGTGACTGGTTAATGGTTGTATCTGAAAAGAAAAAAAGTGCAGCTGGGATATAAATGCTGGATTGTTCATCTCCTTCGATATTCATGGTTTCAAATTTTGACAGAGTTTGTGAGTTGCCATTTTAGTTTTTCTAATATACCCAGGCCTTTTTTTTTAAAAAAAAAAAAAAAAAAAAAAAAAAAAAAAAAATCCCAGGTTGTTTCGTATGTCTTGTAATGTTACAGGTGCATTTTAGCATTCTATCTAATATTAGTGAAAAAGGATGGCACGATTATTTTCTCCTGTAATGTTCTAGAGTTTCACTTGGAAATGTTTCATTAAATTTGTCTTCATAAAGAAAACATTTCACTGAACCCTTCTCAAACTCTACCTTGACAAGAAAAAGTTATATCCATGTATGTTCAGCAGAGGATCAAGAAAATTTGTTGTAGTTTTGTTTATTTTGATTTGGAGTAGATTCCTAATCACATTTTTAATCATTTCCCTATTGGCGTGTATTTCTTATAGATGATGGAATGGTGGTACCAATCTGCTGAAGAGAGAATGTCAGCGCCGACTGTGTATCCTCCACCGCCTCCTCCCCCACCCCCAAAGGTGAGTTGACATATGAGGCACTTTTTCACTTTCATACACACTTTTTCACTAGCTGTGTAAAGAACAGTAAATTGAAAGCGTGGTAAATTTTTGTTGCTGTGTTACTTGAGATAATTTATAGTTAATCATGTTTTTCCTTGTGGAACAGGTTGCCAAAGAGGGAATTCCACTGCCACCTGATAGAACAATATGCTCTTTGTGTTCGGAAAAGCGTGCAAATCCATCAGTACTTACAGTTTCGGGATTTGTGTTCTGTTATGCTTGTGTATTTAAATATGTTTCTCAGGTAAGCCTCCTGATTAATGGTACTTGTTTTTGTATTATAAATGCAGTTCTTTAGGATCTTTACTGGAAAAGATTGCAAAAGGAGCTTTGATGAAGAAAAATTATTCATTAGGATCAATGAATTCCCAAGCAGTTCTCTACTAACTCTATTCATCTCCTCTTTTTACCTTAAAATTTCGTGAAATGGTTTTTTTCCTCCGATTTTAATATGAAGTTGAATAATATAACTGAACCAAGTTGAAAATATGGTGTTTGTTGTAGTCTCTACATATTACACTTCACAATTGCATAGACTTTTCATGCATATATTTAATTCTCGGGTTAATGACACTTGTCCCATGTAGTTTGACCACAATTTCACTTTAGTCCCTATGGTTTCAATTTGAACAATTTGGTCCCTACACTTTTGAGTCTAGTTTCAATTGTCATTCCGTCTAAATTGAAGGTTAAAATTAATAATTTTTGGACACTTGTCACTTTAATTCTAGTTTCAATTTGGTCCTTCCATCTATATTGGAGGTTAAAATTAATAATTTTGGAACGCTTGCCAATTTTCCAAGGTGTACATGTAGGCAAATTTAATAAAATTTTAAACCAACCAAATTGAAACTAGACTTAAAGTGCAGGGACCAAATTGTGCAAACTGAAACTATAGGGACTAAAATGAAACTTGGGTCAAAGTATAGGAGTGAAAAATGTACTTAACTCGTAATTCTCTAGTTCTCAATCATGGTCTTTGGCTGAATCCAAATTGATGAATGTGAATTGCATGCTTTGATAAGGGTTATATTTCTTGCATCTGATAATTTACCTCATATTGTTGGTGTCTCCTTCCCAAATGGAAAGTATGGTGTCTTCCCTTAAAGTTAAACAAAGGTGTTGTAAACTTCATAGGAAGGAAAGAAAAAATAAAAAAATTTGTATGTCAATTGTGGCCTTGCATATAAACATTGTTGAGATCAGCTTTGACAAATGCAAAGGCGGAAGCTTTAAATTTTTATTAAGTCTGATGGCAAACATTGTTCTCTGTGTGTGTGTGTGTTTTGAAGCAGCCAAAATTTTCAGTCCGTGTTCCACTATTTCCCTGCATCATGCTCTTTTAGTTTTTCAACTATATAATTGTCTCACATGTACTTTATTTCCTTGGTTTACATGGTCACAGTACAAACGATGCCCAGTTACATTAATGCCTGCAACGGTGGACCAGATTAGAAGATTATTTCATGACGTGTAGACGAACCAGTAGTTTGGGGATATACTTCATTATCTCTTGTATGGTGTATGCAGCAATCAAGTTCAATTTGAATGAGAGATTTATAATATGCTGAGAAGCAAGTTGAGGAAATCAGATTCCAAGGGAAATAATGCCCAAGAGTTTGGTCTTTTGTATCAATATTACTCGAAGCAATAGTTTTTTAATTTTTCTTTTCTTTTTGATGAGGCAAGAAAGAAATACAACATTTGAGCCATGTTATCAGATAGTACTACATGTTAGAATTGTACAATTATTTTGATTGGAAGATTAACATAATGTGATGTTGGAACAGATTGTCAAATTTTGGTATTTTATTGGAAGTAGATTTGCAGCCTTTGAAATGCCTGTTACGCGTTTTTGATTAATGTGCAAGTTGTTTTATTATGGCCTTGGCTCTATCTTTCTCCGAGTAATGTGCCAGTTTGTTAAACTTTTGGATCTTTATATGTCAGGCAATATCATGCTTACTTCTTACTCTTGTTGGCTTGGATTGTAGTTTTCTAAATTTGATGCTAACAACAAAGATCATTATCCAAGTTTGTTCTATTTTATGGGCTATTTAGAAATCTTGCAATCAGGTGTTGTTTGATACAGAAAGTTCTCTCGAGATCATTTTCTTCGCCAAAACATTCAGTAGCCTCTCAGTGTGTCTTCATTTCTCTCTCTTTTTTTTTTCTTTTTTTCTTTTTTTCCCCTTTGTTTAATTTTTTAATTTTTTGTAAAATTACTTGCAATAAAAAATATACAATTTAAAAAAATCTCTCTTATCCTGTAAAAGTTGATCTGATTGTCGCAATAATGACACCTTTTACTAATCAACTTCGATTGGCGTAGGTGGAGTCGTCAAATGTTGTTGCAAAGTGAGAAGAACAAACAAATGCCAACAATTTTCACCTCAACATCATCATTTTCATTAATAATTCTCACCTCAACATCATCATTTTCACTAATGTTTGTTTGTTCTCATTTTGCAACAACAATTGACTCCACCAAACTTCTGTTTTGCCTGGTTTGGCAGCATTTTCTTGGATTCATTCAGATGGAATCACTACCTTTTTATTGTGATAGTGATTTAACCTATTTTATTTGATGTCTATTAAATTAAAAAGTATATCTACTTTGTTCTGAAGGATATGAAACTTAGATGAACACTCCTACTAATATTTATTTCTTTACCAAATCATTTACATAAAATATTTTTTTAATTTAAAAAATCTTTTGATGGAACACCAAAATGATATTCCCACTACACAAATTAGTATGGATGATATAACCACTGCCCCCAAAGAAAATGGAATATGATACTACTTAATATCATTATTTGTATTTCTACTGCACCAATGAAAATATGAAATCACATTCATATACTAAACAAAAACACAATCCAAAACGGCACAATAAATATTATTCTCAAACCATATGACATAATGCTGTGTCTGCTAAACTTGAGCAATACCTCTGTCCAAAGCTCCCTCTTCCAACCTTGTCTCTAATGTAGAATGCCACTTCACCCTTTTGTTCGACCAAAACAGAAATGCTACTTTCACCCCCCCCCCAAAAAAAAAAAAAGATCAAAAAATAAAAAATAAAAAATAAACCTTCATTAACTACCTCACATGGACTTAGTAAGTATTTATGACCAGTTGACATGATATATCTTTTCACTTATTATTGTCATAATATAAATGTGAAACTCAAAAAGTCACTTTGTGCTCGGCCTAAGAAGCAAGACTTTGAGTCCAACTTCTTATTGACCCAAAGCAGTGAAGCCCACAACTTTCAATGGCGTGAATCAATATAGTTTTTAGACGGAGAAACTACCGTTTTGAATCAATCACAAGTTGCTTTCTGGTGTGAAAAAAAATCATTTTGTAAGTGTTTGGCAGACTATCAAATTTTTGTCCAACTTTTTATCACATGAAAAATAGTAAACACCATGTCAACTCCGCCTCGTCCTATACCCGTTACATGAAATACTTTCCCCGCATTGACTACTGCCAAAGAGACAAATCCAAAAATTATACAAGTACCTCTCTATACTTGCTTGTGGTGCTAGGCATTCCTTTACGAGATGACCCTGAGTCTGAGCCAATGCCCTGTCCTGTATGTTTCCAGTAACTCCCAACAGTGCCAATAATGGGTATCTCATCTGGACTCCGGCTAGGTGATCGCCTCGGAGATGAAGAGGCCGACAACTTCTTGAGATCCTCAACAGTTAATGCTCCTAAAATGGGCCTATCTTCATTACATGTTGATGAATTTGCTCTATCTGGTGAATTCCCAACAGAGTTAAAAGGAGTACTTTTAGTCATAGGTGTTGTTTCAGATTCAACTAACCAACTTGACAGACTAGTATCCACTGCAATTTCATTGAACTCTTGCTTTGCTCTATTGGATCGTCGTTGAGAACCGTGCTTCGAGGACTTGAAACTAGGCTCTTCACTCAAGGGTATGCTTAGTTCTTGCTCCGAATCAATATTTTCCTTTTCTTGACCCTTTAATGGTGTGAATGCCCTCTTCGCTTTAGCCGCTTTCCATTGAGAAAGATTCTCAATTGGATTCAACACGGACTCTCTAGAATCAGATGACTTCAAACTAGGTTCTTCACTAAAGGGTATACTTATTTCTTGCTCCAAATTGATGTTCTCTTTTTCTCGATCTTTTAATGGTGTGAATGCCCTCTTTGCTTTGTCCGCTTTCCATCGAGTAAGATTCCCAATTGGATTCAACGCAGACTCTCTAGAAATCTGATTTGACCCGGTTGTGACGGGGATTGTTATCGGACTATTGACCTCCTTTTCATCAATTTCTGATGCGGAGACTTGTTTTCTGGATCCTATGGATAAAGAAAACAATGACTCAGAAGAGTCTTGTTCCTGAGCCAATGCATCATGATCATTGATGTCATCTGAATCAGTAGTTTCTACCAATTCCATGTCTTCAGATTGATCATCATCAATGGTTGTGAAATTGTGGTATCTATGGCTTGGAGGATAAGAGAATACACTTGACATACTAGAATCTGATAGGCTCTGCCTTTCATTTTGTGTTTCCTCTTTGTTTTCCCTCTCTTTTTCTTTACCTTTCTCGCATTCCACTGAACAGTTTTGGATCTTTTGGGCAGAGGACTCCTCATAGGTCTTGACATTCAAATCAAATGTAACTTTCTTTCTGATAATTCCATCAAAAAAAAGAAGGAAAGTAAAATTCAAAGAGTCATCATTTTGGTTAAGTGTTTGTCAAATTGTTTCCAAAAACACGAAAAATGAAGACAAAAACAAAAAACAAAAACATGTGTAGATAAATTTGATAGCTTACTTAGAATCTGTGATGATGGGTTCAGTGTTCTTTTTGACTTCTTGCTTTGTGGGCTTGGTGGGTTGAAGAGGAGTTTGAGAAGTCCCATATCCCTGTAACAAATTTTGGGTAAAGAAAAGAAAAGAAAAGAAGAGAAAAAACAGAAGATGAAGTCATGAATTTATAAGATTGGAGTTTGAGAGCTTACTTGATGATCTCCAGAGTGAATTATAGCCTGCTTTTTCCTAGATTTTCGATGTTTGGAAGAACAAAAACAAGGGAGAAAGCAGCAGCCCATTGCTAGCCACTTTTGGGTTGTATAAAGTGGGTTTTTTTTCTTCCTAGAACAAAAGCGGCTGCTTTACAAAGTCCAGAGAGAGAGAGAGAGAGAGAGATGGACACAACGGTCATCTGGAACATATGGAGATTTGAAAAATATGACCGTTGGTGTAGGCTTTTGAGCCACAGTAAAATATGACGAATGATAAGAGGCCAACATGATTGAAAAAAGACAAAAAGTCAAAAAGTCACTATCCTATTTAAGTCACATCATCTTATTTAAGTCACATCACCTCTCTAACACATCACTTCAAACCCAACCCAAACTCAACCCATATTTTATAAAAAGTCAAAAAGTATACTTATTTAGTCTTCCCAAACTAAGCCTGAATCTAGTTGGTTTTATTATCATCTTAAATTTTTTTTTTAAGAGGTTGGGTTAATCCTAACGTACTAATTAAATTCAGAACACAACTTTAAACTTCTTTTTTCATTTATAAACTATTATCAATTTAAAAAAAAAAATGTCATATCAGTTTCTTTGCACCCACAAAGTAAAAAATAATTTTTTTATGGAGATTTTTTTTTAAGGTCCCTGATATTAAGATTTTATAGTATAGAGGATATCAAATATTTTCATAATATTTAAAGTCCCTCGCACATCGATTTAGAGAAATTTCAATCTCTAGAGAAATTCGCTCCAAATTTCTCTGGACTTCCCATTGTTCAGAAAAATTCTCTCCAAATTTCTCTGGACTTCCTACTCTCCGGAGAAATGCTCTCCGAATTTCTCTGGGCAAAATAAGTTCAAGTCTCAGCTTGGCCTAAACTTTCTCTCTCTCTAATATTTTTGTCTTTGGATGTATGGTTGTAGAAGAAGTTTCTGATTCTCCAAATTTCTCACAGCCATAGGTCATTCAAAATCTCAAAATCAAAGAATTTCTCTGGTTACTTACCATGAAAGATTTCTTAGTTATCTAAACTCCTTTATTATTGGTCATTCAAAATCAAACTAAACCAGAGAAAATTGGACTACTGAAAAATAAAAAACAATCACAATTTTCTCTATGCTTTGAACAAACTCGAGAAAATTGTGATTGTTTTTCTCTGTGATTGTTTTTCTAAGAAGCATTTTATCAAACAAGTTAGCTTCAAAGCTCACGGCTATATGTTTTACAATTTTAAGAAAAGTTTTGTCAAATCAAATCTCACAGTTATGTGTTTTGGAGTTCTAAGAAGCATTGTGTCAAACAGTTTAACTTCATACTATATATATAGATGTTTGTGTGTGTGTGTGTGTATGTGAGAGAGAGAGAAAGAGACCTTGTTCCAGGACCAATAGAGGATGGAGCCGGAGAGGAAGAACTAAGAGAAGCTTACTAGGGCTTTCAAATATGAGAGTAACAATATCACTTCCATCATCGGCCTTGATGGTGATGATATCATTGTTCACTCCCACCATTGGATTGTCTTTTCGTCATAGTACACTTCGATTCCGATATCGGTGAAATCGTCTATGGATAAGGATGCTTTGAGCTTTGCTTGACGGTGGAGAGAGAGTTGGAGAAGACAACGACGACGATGAAGTCCAGCGATAGAGGTAGAGTTCCTCGGAGAGAGAAGAGCAGAGAGAGAGGAAGAGATGGAGAGGTAGTTTGATTTGAGGGAATCAAATTTCTCTGTGCTATATGGGTGTCGGGGGTTGAGGGACCTTAGACATCATAAAATAATAGTATGAATCTCTTCCATTATTAAAAATGAGAGAGAGACTTTAGACTAATTTTTTCTTTTTTTAATAATTCCCTAAATGTATTAAAAACAAATTACTAAAAAAAATCAACCCTAAACACCCACTAATAGACAACTCATGAGAACACGATTTTAGTCCCAACTCTCCTCCCCCAAGGCTAAAATAATAACAGAAATCTTTGGTAAGTTGAATTGAGCTGTCTCGAATGGTTCAAATTTGTGTTTATCGGTCAACCTCCCGGACGACTATTCGGATGACCGAGTTAAATACTTGTCTACCACGGTTGTTACCTTATTGACCGTGGCTGACAGTCTTTTCGCCGGACGACCAGCTAGACAACCGATCAGATAATCAGCCGAATAACTGGTAAAATGAAATTCGAGTCATTCGGGACAAACTCAAATTCGAATTACGCAGCATTGCTCAAATAATAAACTATAATCGTTACATATACTCATAAAAAAAAGGTAAATTACAATTTACCCTCTTTAACTATTGTCACCTATCACTTTTTCCCCTCAATTAAAATTTGTTGTAACTAACCCCTCTCATCTACTAATTGTTTTTCAATTTGGACCTTTATTACTACAATACCTTTTCATCAAGTGGATAAATTATATTTTACCTCTTGAACTATCATTTAATATCACTTTCAATTTAGACTTTCATGTTTTTTTCATTTCATGGCTAAATTAATTTTTAGTTTGTCAAAAAAAAAAAAAATTGAAAACCAAACAACGAAAATATTTATGAATTTTTTTAAAAAAAATTCACTAAAGACAAGAAATATAAAAATATTTAGTCTTTTGTTTTATGTCTTTTTATTTTTTCATTTTTAGTGATTTTTTCAAAAAATTCGTCACAAATATTTACATTTTAGGTGCATCTAAAAATTTAAATTTTGACTAAAATATGAATTTTTTAATTAAAAATAAGCAAAATTATTATTAAAAAAAATTTAAATTATATTTTAAATTAAAAATCAAACATTTTTTTTTAATAGTTGAGGAATAAAGTGATATTGAGTGATAGTTCAAACAAGTAAAGTTTTTGTCATTAAGGTCTAAATTGAAAAAAATTAATAGATGATGAAGATAAAATGTTACAATTTTTAATTCAAACGAATAATTTAAGAAGGTAAAATATAATTTACCTATAAAAAAATGATTTTCATCGTCCATGTTGACATCTTCAAGAAGCAAAGAGCAAAAAGTAGTGCACGCACAAGCTCTCTCAAAAGGTATTCCAAACTACCTCGGTGGCCGGCGTCGTTTTGTTCCCCATAAATAAAAGGGATATTAATTAGAGTAATGTTAGAGATCTTAAATATTTTACTAAAAATTTTATCAAATGTCTCACATGGGTGTGGGACCAAATGTGAGTCCCATGTGGGTCCCACACCCATATAAGACATTTGATAAAACTTTTGGTAGAATTTTTGGAGCCTCTAACATTTTTGTATTAATTATACATGAGTGCGTATTTTTTTAAAAAAAAAAAAAAAATTATGATAAACTTTATAAGTGGCTTTGTAATTAAGTTTTGATGGTACGTCTAACATATAATTTCCCCTAAACAAACTTTTTTTTTGCTTCTTTGTGCCATTTTGGGAACATGGTCATTTGGCAAGTGTCAAAAACGCAGCCCTAAAATTACAAATTAGGGCCTATGAAAAATAAATAAAAAAAAATAACTCTCTTATGTTGGGTAAGGGTATTTTGGTCATTTTAATTTGATTTGACACCATAAATAAATATTAAACTAAAAAGCAAAAAGTCAGCTTTTTACCAACTTCCCAAATCACTTCCAAAAAAGCAAAAAAGCTTGGTAAAAAGCCAAAAGCCAACTTTTTACCAACTTCCTAAAACAACCTTTATCACTTAAAGCTTACTAATTACTACTACTAATTTCAACATCATTATAATTCTATACATAAACCTTCTTATATCCACCAACATGGATATATAAGGATTGTTTGGTGTGCCTTATAAAACTGTGGAGAGGGTTAGAAATTAAAATCTAAATTAAGCATGAACCTAAGCACGGAGATCGCCCCCGTTAGGCGACTAGAAATGATTAAAAGAGCATAGACCAAAACTCAAGGAAAGTGGGTCAACAGTGAACCGAAACAGGTCCGACCCACCAAGAGTTCGAGTGGACCCCATGAGGGGAAAATGTCTAAGTCAAGTTGCAGAAGCATTACTTGCAGCGGTCAAGTTGCTGAGGCACTTTGTCTCAGCGCCACCATTCTAAGTATTGCTGCTACCATTGCCATCTGAAGTTGGTGAAGGAAAGAGAGAACTGGAGCAACTAAGTTGCAGAGGTACTTTGTCGGTACCACCATCTCTAGAATTGTCAATGCCGCCATTTGAACTTGTCACAGGAAATAGCCACCACAACTATAGTCGCCTCAACTAACTTGCAAAGGGAACACCCTGCCAAGGTGACAACAGCCTTTGGGAGAAGTTTCCCCTCCGCAAGTAGAGACTAATGCTTGGCCCTGATAGCAGGCCGCAAAGCTTATTGGTTGGAGCTGATAGCAAGCTCAAAGATACAAGTATACCGCGGTGACTTCGTGAAGATGGGAATAGGGCAACCCGTGTGCAAGGGACTTCCTTTCCATCCACTCAAGTCATAAACCTACCTTCCCCTTGGGCTTGGTACTAAGGCACAGCATGGCTGATAGCAAGCTTGGCTGTGGCCTTCGCCTTCGCCCTGAGAAGTTGGGGAGTTTGTGGTTAGATGACTAAGGGTGGAGACTTCGCCTGGTGACACCTTTAGCCTGGTGGCCCAAGGTAGAATATTCTATGTGATTCTTAGAGACATATGTCCTTACTTTATTTGGCCACTTGGTATCCCTTAGTACCAAGGAAAAGCCTATAAATAGGACCTATTTTCCAATGTCCAATAGGAGGATTTTTTGGGAATTTGGGGAGATGCTGCCCATTTATGCACTGTCATTCTCTTTTTCTTGAGCCACTTGCTCCACCTTCACCTAGCTGCTCATTCTCCAACTTTCCCAGAGTTTTGTTGACTCATTCTCCAGTCATCTCACCATCATTGGACCATTAATATAGTTTTACCTCTCTAATCACTTTCCTAATCACTTGCTCAGTGCATAATTTTTTTAATTTTTTTTTTTTAAAAAATGATAAACTTTATAAGTGGTTTTATAATTAAGTTTTGAAGGTACCTCTAACATATAATTTCCCCTAAATAAAAGCCACTTTTTTTTGCTTCTTCATCACTTAAAGCTTACTAATTACTACTACTCATTTCAACATCATTATAGTTCTATACACACACCTTCCCAACAACGTGGATATAAAAGGGTTGTTTGGTGCGATTTATAGAAATGTTTATAA